ATTCAGGACCGAGTTCATCGACGTTACACCTGCGTCGATCTCTGGTTCAAGCGTTGAAATTGTACCTCATGCGTTCGAGACGGGATACGGTAATCCACTCCACGTCAGATTGCTCATTGTTGCACGTTTTCAACGAACGCGCTCCTCGTGCTGTTGCGTTCTATAATTATATAAATTACGATAAAATACACACACACACACACATACATACACACCCATGTATACGCGTGCGCCATTTAATTAAATATGATCAGTATTTTGAGGCATAGGTCGGCTCTGTATTTTGCGATGAGATAACACACATGGCTCACCATGAGGTAACGATTCAACTGGACAGTCGAGCTGGACCTAGAAGCGGTATGTTGAAAACTTTCGAAGCATCGACCGCTCAAACGAACTTGGATGAAGAAGACGCGCCTCCATCATCACCTTCTCATCACTCGCGAAAGAGTCGAGATTTCGTTTTTCCTTGCAGTTCTTCCGCGTTTCTCTCTCTCTCTCTGTCTCTCTCTCTCTCTCTCTCTCTCTCTCTCTCTCTCTCTCTCTCTTTCTCTCCCCTTTTGTATTGTCATTTTCACGTTCGCGAAAATCTTTGTACATACAATCAGGTCGTGAGTTTGTTTTGTATTGCAATATTGTCAACTCTTGTTTGTACGCTCTCATTTGTTATACCACTTGAGCATATTCTTTTCTCAAATTAAAGAAACTTGTCTGTGTCTCATCTCATACGAAACCTCGTAATTATTTCAGCTTTGAACTCGTCACCTCGCTCGTACGTTTCAGTCGTCAACTGAAACCTGGACTGTGCGTTTCGTCGTGCGTCGGCTGCATCGTGTTACATCGCGCGAGATTTCCGGTCCGCAAAGCGCGTCGTATTCTCGCTCGCGGTGAATGATGCACATTGGAATTGGATGGAGCTTGTACCCATCTCTCTCTCTCTCTCTCTCTCTCTCTCTCTCTCTCTCTCTCTCTCTCTTTCTTCTTTGTTTCTGGTACGATGACACTTGACCTTTAAGTGCGAGCGAACACACGGCGCGGCGGCCCGACCATGCCTCAAAAGATCTGAGTGACGTTCCTTCCGAACAGTGTGGACAAATGTAACGATTAATATTAATATTATTATTACATATTTATTGTAACTACCATTATTATTATTATTATCATTGATTATTACATCATTGCTGTACTGTTAAAATTGTTTACCGTTCAAACACATACACACACACACACACACACGTTACACGCATATATGGGATAAGTCCCTACACGCACACGCATCTCTGTGTGCGATACGAGGCACAAATGGCGAACGATGAGGATAAGAGAAAGGCCCAAGCATATTTTCATCTCGAGCAAGGACGTCTGACGCTGTGTCGAACGAAGGCGGCGAAATTTCGGCCGTTTCGCTCAATTGCACGATGGCTGTAGTGAAAAATACGCTATTTTCCGTCGGCCCTTTCTCATTACGAGAGATGCTGCAGGCGTATCCGCGCAGGACGCACGATACGTTCGTAACGCAATCGTACTTGTACGTAAAGGAATAAGAGAGAAAACATAGTATAGAATGGAGAAATGGCGAGTTTTGTTTTTCTTTTTTTTATATGTAGAAACACATGTGTTTACATTGGCATTTGATTGAGTTTGTGTGCGTCAGGCACAGTACGTCAGGTCTCGGCCAGCACGAGGCTCAAAGACAAGTGGACTTGTGAATTCGTGGTCACGCTCTGCTGCGATTCAGAAAGACCACAGCTGTCACTCAAACAGACGATTGCGCGACAATGCGATAGAGTGATCGAACGAGCGCGATAGCACTCCTGCAAAACGAACAAATTGAAAATATTCAACAAAAGAATTCTATTCCCTTTCGCCTATAAACCTAATCTCGAAAATCGTCAAGCGCGAATGTCGCTTCGCGTGTTCCCGTCGGGTTCCGCCGACAGCGATATCGCGCGATATCGCATGCGTGATCGCATGCTTGGGGTCTGCCCGGTATACACGGGAATAAACATTGTTTTGAGGAGCGTTCCTCGCCAGGAATCTCGTGGTCCAACGTTCGGCGACGAGGTCTCCGCTGAGCACGCATCGATCACACGTGAGCTTCGTGATATCGCAGTTAGAAGAATCTTTGGATTCTTTCAGAAAATTATGTATACGTGCACGCTACGACCCCGACACATCGTGAGAACGTTGAATTTGGTGCCGTTGAAGTTGATTCGTTCATTTTAATCATCAGGAAGTGAGAAAATTGGAAATTCGGGAATTTTCATACGTATATTTCTGTAGTCAGAATTACACGAGGGAGGAGGGAGGGGGCAACTTGTTGCACAGTGGATTTTTTCTAGCTGCATATTGGAGGAAAGGATAAAGCTAGGAGAAATTAAATGCCTCGATATTCTCGCCGAAGGAAATTGTCAGTGACATCGGGAGAATCCGTCATTACGATGCGATAAAAGTAAGATATTCTTTGCACGCGTGTGTTTATACACGTGTATATACACGCGTGTGTTTACCGAAATGTAGATAAAGCAAGCACAGGTCTGTGCGAGATATGTCTATTTTATCCATGCTCCCAGAATAAAATATCTCAGCCAGCGAGATTCCGTTGTCGGAGCAAACAAGTGAGGACTGGAAAAAACCGACATATCATCGCTAATATCTCTTATTCTCCTCTTACACTTTTTTTCCTTACGTTTTTCTTATTGATATTGGTTTAGTTGTATTAAATGCTTGCCGTGCTCTTTTCCCTTTGCTCGCTTTGCTCGCGCTGCTCTCTTAACGTCGAAGATAATTTGGGTATAACGCAACATATGCGACTGACATTGATATAGGCGACGAATATATATTATAAAGCAGTACGACTTTATAGAGCACTATCGTGCCGTCGTCTTTCGCTGCTGCGTCTTGGCATACATTGGTGTTCTTTAACGACGGAAATGTCCGTCATGCGGAATCGGTTGCTGTTGACGCTCAAACAACACGCGCGCTTCGCCACAATGACGAAGGTGCGACACGCATCCTACATGAATGAACAAGTGCAAAATGCAGTTCACCAAAGGACACCGAATGACAAGGCGCGAGATCGTAAGACCCTTTCCACGACGCGATTACTGCAGCAGATAAGCAGCGAGAACGAGAGCCGCGAATTGATGAACGTGTGGCCGGACATCGTCCGCGACATCGCGATAGCAAGCGAGGAACTGAATCTTCCGGATGTTACCGAATGGCTGACCAAAGTACTCGAGTACAACGTCCCAGGTGGCAAGAATACTCGCGCTTTGACGCTGCTTTACGCCTACCAAATGCTGACGCCCGCCGACCGTATGACTCGAGAGAACATTTATCTGGCACGGATTTTAGCCTGGTGCATGGAACTGCTGCAGGGCTTCCTCCTGATACTCGACGACATTGAGGATCGCTCGTTGATTCGCCGCAAACAGCTGTGCTGGTATCGGCATGAAAATGTAGGCTTAGCGGCAATTAACGACGCTGTTATGATAGAGAACGTCATGTACTATCTACTTCGGAAGCATTTCAAGGGGAGGGAATGTTACATCGACATACTGGAGACTTTCCAGGAGATCATGATGAAAACTTTAATGGGCCAGTGCTTGGAATTCACGAATTTCGGCAAGACGCTGGACCTCGATCGATTCACGATGGATCGATACGACGGCATCGCTTACTACAAAACGGCGTACTACACATTCGTCTTACCGATGTCGGTCGCGATGCACTTCGCCGGGATAAAGAGCCGGGAACTGTTTGAGGAAGCAAGGACGATACTGACGAAGATAGGTCACTTCTATCAGATCCAGGATGACTATCTGAGTTGCTACGGAAATCGTAAAACCCTTGGCAAGGTCGGCACCGACATAGAAGAAGGCAAGTGCACGTGGCTGATCGTCACCGCTCTTCAGCGCGTCACGCGCGAGCAACGAAACGTCTTGAAGGAGTGTTACGGATCCACCGATCGGCAGAAAATAACACGCGTGAGACAATTGTACAAAGATCTGGATCTGCCGGGAATATTTTTCACGTACGAGAAGGGGACGTATAATTTACTAAATATTTATATAGAGCAGATGACGTGCGGTCTTCCGCGAAAGCTTTTCCGGAAAATATTGAACGACCTTTACCGCAGGACAAAATAAGGTATAATTTGAGTTTCTAAAATATAGTTTATCAAAATACAGTATAAAAAGAATATAGTTTATTAAATATAATTAATTAAGAGAAAGAAATGAAAAATATAAATTTTTCAGATAAATATATAATTTTTTATTTCTAACTCTTACAACTCTCAAGTCTAGATACTTTAACGGGCACTACTTTATTCGGTTACTAGATATATTATCCCGTGTTTGCAATATTATTGTTAATTTTATTATGAATTTTCTTGGGTATCAATGCGCTAAATTGTTAATTCTTATGCGTTCTTATTCTGCCTATGCGTCTGAAAAATTCTATCAATTTTCTTCCGGAAGACCTTCCAGTCGACGAAACTACCCAATGGTTAAACGGAACTTGAGCGGAATGAAGGAAAAGGATAACAAAATACCGGTGGAGGATAACTTGATGACGTTGATGATGCGTTAACACCATACGCGTTCTCATACTTTTATTACAAACAAACCCTTCATGTAATGCACAATTGTAAAGACATGTCGTTTAACTCTTAGCGTGTAATTGCTCGTCTAATCTAAGTAATACGATCGCTCTATCGTATCACTAACGTATTAAAATTGCACAAGCGACGCAACGCGAGATACGGCGCAACGCCTGTATCGACTATCGTCGATCTATATAGAGAATACCACGCCGATTCTTCTCGCAAACCTGCCTGCATGTCTCAAGCGGTTACAATTAATACTTCTATTATTGCTTTCCTTTCTCTCTCTCTCTCTCTCTCTCTCTCTCTCTCTCTCTCTCTCTCTCTCTCTCTCTCTCTCTCTCTCTCCCCCCTTTTTTCTTTTCTTTTTTCTTTTTCTTCCTTTTTTTTCTTTTTTTCTTTAAGTTAAACACCTGTAAGGCACATGTTACAATTCGCCTTACAACAATCTCTATCTCTCAACGTTCTAGCTGATCGCGTCGTGTCCCTGTTTCGATTCTACGGAATCGAGCGCTATGTTGCTGGCTTCGTTAACTTTCTCCATTCATCGAATACCTCGACGTCTGTTATAATACATCTGTTAACGTTACGACAACTGTAAAACATCTCTGCGACGATTCACAGCGGTCATCGTGTATGCCTGGTGTATATCCTACGATAGAAACACAAGAGAAACAGGAGAAAAGCACTTTGTCGCGCGTTGTTATGAAATAAATAATTAAAGCCTACATGAGTACGATACTGCATACTCTCTCTCTCTCTCTCTCTCTCTCTTTCTCTCCCTCGAGTAGTATCTCGAGGTCTCTCTTAACAATCCCCGATTGCACGAATCGATATTCTTGTCTATCGCACGCACCACTGTCGTCAAAGATCGTCGACAATGCACAGTCTCTTGTCGTCTTTCGCATATAAATATTAAATAATATACGATAAAAAGAACATATAACGGAGACGAGACGCTACTTATTGCAAACTTTCGACTAGCTTACTTCTTGTTTTCTCTTTTCCCTTTTGTTCGCCAATACGCAATATCGACGACAATCTCTTTGCAAGACACGCAAAATCGTAAGATAGGATAACAGCGCGGATCCGATAGAAATTTATCAAGACTAATACATCGTGGTAATCATACGAATATAGATATCAAACGCAAAATATACACAAAGGGAAACTCCTCCTTTTTCTCAGCATGCTGAACAAAATATGACTTCTACTTGAAATTCCGCGTTAAAATACGCACGTAAAATGGCAAGAAAAGTGTGTACAAACGAAATTCGATATCTATGGAACGAGTAACTCGGCAAGGACGATTTTCGACTTGATTTTGTTACTGCGTATATTTACATTCTGAAGTACCGAGCCTCGAGTCCGTTTCGTCACACATACGACATCATGATTTGTCGGTCTCGAGCAGAATATTCTACGTCTCGTCCGCCCCCGAGATGGCGATTTGATCGATAACCAAATATCGTGAAACGCGTGAGTTATACTTTTTATTATCGTCGCCAGTTGCAGTATCGTCGAAGACGACTTAGCCACCTCGTAATTCGCCGCTCTCGTCGCCGTTCCGTCTCCTGTTGCGACCTCGACCTACAAAACAACCGATATGTATTTTGTTTAATTTTCTCATGTAATCGCGCAAAGCATATCGCGTACACGTATCTTTTCAAACTGTAAATTTAGTAGCGATGTAATTTTTCTGATGTGATATAAAAACAAACTCCTGTTTGTATACGACTTGCGACTCTTCAGTTTTGATAAAGAAGATTAATACAATCAACAACCAATTAACTGGCTGTTCATTATGGTACAGTTTGCGCACAATTTGCTTCGGAAAATCATTTCATACGTTTTTCGTTGATTTCAATCTATCTCTTCCGAAGCGAGATGATTCTCTTCGAGAAGATTAATGTTAATTTGGCGTACGAGATTGCGTAGCGTCGCATAGACGCATATCTCGTATGTAAGATAACATAACATTTATACACATATATACTCTATATGCTATACAAATGTGCGCTAAAGTAAATGACGTCATTCTCATCGAAATCTCATCAGATACCTCCTTTGCTGCATACAGTAGTCGAATGTAAAATACAACAAATAGATACTTACAAATCTCTCTCTCTCTGTCTCTCTCTCTCTCCCCCCCCCCCTAAGTATTAAAGACAAATGTATTCTAATATTTTCCTTCGTAGAATTATCGCGATTCGATCGCGGCATGATCACTCGGCGCAATTCGGAGCGCACGAACGTAACGCGGTTCCTCTTTGCATTTGAAACTTTACAATCATTGAAGTCGGATATTTTATGCACGTCATCCTTCTTTAATAAATATAATTTTTACAGAATCCAGAAACAAAGAGCGTACTTAATATTGCAAGTGTATTAAAAATATCTCGCTAATTCTTCATTGAAGTTTTTATTTTTTACAATTTTGAAGCGCATGCGGCAGTGTGACTTTACATTACGCAATTATCCAGCATAGATTATAATTTTGGCAGTTGTTAATCGTATGTACATGGTGCTATATATACTCTCTCATAATTTTTAACGAAATATTGAAAAACGCAAAAGACATCCATGACTTCAAAGTCAAATTATTTTTATATCGATTCAGTGAGGTTATGTTACAAACTAAAAAATTTGAGCACGGAGCACAATCAATGCGAAAAAATTTAGGTAAAGTTTCACAGCGTCCAAAGCAAACCACCACGTACTTCAATACCTGCGCACGACAATGGAAGACTTCCCGAAATCTTCGGATTATTATTCCTATTTGTTCTTATCGCTCTATCTCGTATTAGCGATAGCGAACTATCTCTTCAAGAGATCCTGAAAATACTAATATAAATGTTCACTACCTCTGCGTATCTGATTGAGGCATGCCAGCATTCTGATCATAAAAACCGCAGGTACAGTTATAGTGTCTTTGGTCTCTTCCAGCATGACCGCATTTCTCTTCTTCAGCTGAAAACATAACGAACGACAGGTGCATTAACATATTCTGGTGGTGTGTTCTAATACTTTTCTCATATCACTAGGGCAGAGGCGCACGACTGCTTACATCTTCCGCGAACTTCTCGTCGAAATCCGTCTTTTTGTTTACTGGCGCCCACAATTTGACATCGTAGTCGATGCCAGAAGTGGCCAGAATCGGCAGGTACGGGTGCGGTTGCAGGCAATTGACAACGTGATGATCCGCTTCTAGTAGCATACACAATCTGGCGGTGTCCCTCTCCCATACAAATACGTGACCGCAGTCACTACCTGACATGACGAAATCGTCGCCCCAGAAATTTGCCTCCTTGATCATGGTCCTAAAGAAACTAGAGTCAAACGGGGGGAGAAGGGCGAACGATCAGATAATATAGCGGCGGCCTAACGGTATACGGCCCAGTCCGCTCGGAGGCTTTTTCGGAACTACACGGGTCAGTGATTTGGCTTCCGATCTACCAGACATTGAAAATGTAAACATAAAAGTAGACGTAGACGTAGACGTAGACATAGACATTTAGATTAGACTAAGGATTTGACCGAAAAATTATCGTTCGCTCGAGGTATAAATCAGTGCGACCAAACCCGCCAGATAGATTTGGTGATACATTGACTATAAACTACGTAATCCAACTCAACGTCACAAAAGTTTCGCTTCGTCTCTCAACACAGCTTCTTGCTAAATCGTGTTAACTACTCTTTAACAACTACCAATAATGCGCGCGTTTCGTCTTGCAATAATCCCTATACGTGTCGTCTGAGAAATTTTAGAGCATGTCGCTCTTTCTCTGGTTCTCTCATTAATGATTGTGTCGTATGAATGAATCATACCTCGCGTTTCTATGTCCCATGTATTTCCGTTTCACGCACAGCTCAGTCAAGTAGGTTTCGTCGAACGTTTCGTGCCCTTGCGACGAACGAGCATTAGCAATTGCTTCATCCATTTCAGCCTCAACTGGATTCAGTAATCTGCGGAGTAGATATCGTCGATGCTATCGTTAAGGCTGGATGGGCTTATGATTCCGGGAAAAAAACAAAAAAAAATGAAAAAGATCACTACAAGCAATTGATATTGTAGTGTTCTGTCTACACCGACCTTTCACCCGGTTGGATATCCTCGTCTTCGCTGTCAACGACTTCCTCAGTTTCTGCAAGAGTGCAAGCACACTGCATTAGAATCCGCGAAGCGATCGGAGACCAGAGATCGCTGATACTTACTCTCTCTGACGTCGGTGTAACGATGTTTGTGATTATTGCTCGGCCCGGCATCGAGAGTTCCATCGCTACAGCTTCCAGACGGTCCTGCACAATTGTGGGAAGCCCTTGTGCAAAATGAGTACGAAAGGCAAGGGAACCACGGAGAGACCGGATCGGTTTGACGAAATAAAATGTAGTACAAAAATTAAGTACTCACCTGGATGGTAACTGTCTCGAGTTACTTCATCGCCGACGCCAAGTGATATGGTGGCGCTAGTTGAGCTTTTGTCAGAATATGTTAAACTCACGGCAGGTTCGCTGCCATGTCTATGCACATTAAGTTACGTATTAGTGAAATATTGTGTGATGGTTAAAATATTTATGTTTCAAGGACGAATACTAGTAAGTACTCGACCATTTTAGTACTTCAGGTATCGAGTATCAAGCATCTCCGTACATCATATACCATCGAGTGTCGAACATCGACATTCGGTGTGGGGTATCAAAGGAGGAGAATTAAAGTCTTACCTCTCGAGGAAACCATCTCGCATCGTTGTCAATCTATCCTGCAGATTTTCCATCATACTTTCCTGCTTACTACCAATGTTCGCGCGCGAGGCATCGTTCGCTTTTTCACTCTCGTGCCACACGCCACCATGCTTGGTTCTATGATGACTACTCGTGGAGCAGGCGGAAGCGGCTTGCGCGTCGCCTTGACTAGATTCAGTTTCCATAGGAACATCGTTCGATGCGGCGGACTCGGTGGGATTTCCGTCGTTTACTCTCGCGGGCGTGCTGTACGAGGCTAACTCATTGTACTCTTGCCCTTCAATTTGTCTCATTTCAGGCCTTTCATCGTCCGTGGAAGTTTCTTCAGTGGTTGTACTACTTCTACTAGCTCTACCGGTACACGTGCTTGTGCTTCCTAGAGAAGACAGAGACACATTAATGTGAGCAAGCTTAATTGCGCTGTAAGGTGCAACGCAAATAAATATTCGACATCGTTCCGTACCGCTCGTCCCTGCGTTATTGCTATTATTGTCGCGTCCTGTACTCGATTCTGTCGATTCGTTACTCCCTTCCGCGTTCGATTCTCCATTATTCTCAGGATTTTGAATACCGTCCTGTTGCTCGATAACACCTTCCAAGCTGTCCTCACCGCCGCCACTGAGAGCAGCGCGAGTGGCCGGATCGTTTAACATTCTACTGAGCACGTCTGTCATCCTTTGCATTAAGGAAGTATGAAGCACTGGTCTTGCCTGGGCGACCTCTAATGGCCGATAATTTGTGGTTATTTGCGTAATAAAAAAAGTAAGTACATCGTAACGTCCATCTACCTGTGCCACTGCGACGTCCACCTTCTCTTTCTGGGCGCGCGTCAGGACCGGTGTCAGACCAATCACCGCGAAGTCTCAGGCGACGAACTGGTTGAGGCGACCTCAACGGATGTTTCTTCCCTTTCCCTTTGCCCATCGACGCGTCTTTCCGCAGCTGCAGGCTGCCTTGATCCTGATTAATTTCAAGATTGGATAACACAACATATATGTTTATATCAGGAATAAGACGTTGAACAGTGAGACAACATGAGGCAAACTTTCGTATAGCAATGCTACCTTGATACTGAACAAATAAAGATGATCGCTGCTGTAACTAACAAGAACATCTTGTCCATCCGGACTGTAACTCAACGACGTAATCCTGTAGGAATTGCCTTCGAATTCCGGCACAGTGAAGCTGCACAACGGTCTCACCGAACCACTTGCGTCTGTCCAACCTAGAGAATGTATGTAAAACCATGTAAAACCATGTGTAACTCCGCTCGCATGTAACGCGTTATCACATCGTTGTACACGAAGTGTTACCAGTAGCTGGTGTTCCGAGAGTTCTTCTATCGAACGTTCTCACGGTGCTGTCGGAACATCCGATCGCTATCTGATGAGGGGACACAGGATTCACGGACAGAGCAGTTACGGCTCTTTGACACGAGATTAACACATCCTGGAAAGAACATTGAGACAGAACTTTGAAACATCCTTCCCTTCGGTACGGTAATTCACGCGTGACGTCAATTGCGGATCGCGTTAAATTACCTCTCTGCACCTTGTGGCGCTACATTTGTCCTTCACTCTGAGGTCAAACCATCTTACAGTGCCGTCCTCTCCGCAACTTAGAAAATTATGTGGCTCACCGGGTATTGTCGCTATTTCGTAGGTAGTGCCGGTGTGACAAGTGAATTGATTATGGAACGTCTCTGTTCGTCTCATGAGATCTGCAAATGCAACATTGGCGCTCAACAGACACACGGAGGAGGATATCTGATAATGCGAACAGATTTGGCCTTATTACTCCATTCTTCGCAAGTATCTTAGTTCGGTCAATTACCTGTATACAAAATAATGCCATCTCCGCTGCAAGACACGATACGATGATCACCGCTATTAGGCAAAAATTTGGCGCTAAAAATATTTGCCCTGTGACTGGTTTTATAGTCCGTTAGTACCTTAAGGAGAAAAACTCGCATGTAAGGGCTGTAGAAAAGTATTTGCTATGAGATTGTTATTTCGTGGGAATTCCTCTTTCCCACTCTTATTTTGAATTAGGTGTGTGTGTGTGTGTGTGTGTGTGTGTGTGTGTGAGAATCGTGATGTGTGGCCGAGATAATTTCCGTATAACGCATTTCGGAAAAAAAAAAGAACGTGTTTGTTGGTATTTGCGCAGACTGTTTAAATTGATAAAAAAAAGAAAAGTCATCCATAATCACGTAATACATTTTTGAAATATATTCAGACATATAGCAGGGTGCCGTGCTGTATGTCGCTACACTGTGATGTTATATGATATGCTACTGTTAATTAGCAAGGTGGATCTAAGCTGATGGTTCTAGATGATAAATTTAGCCACGTGTACATCTGAAGGATTTACTGGTTTGGCACAACGTCTGCATTTCTAACTATGTCAATGTTGGACCTTGACTAGAATTAACTATCCAAGACATTTCCTTGAAAAGGTTTAATGCCAATGTGACTTGTACAACTTCCTCTTTTGTGACCTGTAGCTCGACAATACTGCACAATTAACAATCGCTGCTATTAAGATTAACAATACTTTATTTACATCCTTATGTTAAAGTCTATAACATACATCAATCACTTTATTGATACTTATTGAGATGCTGAATCAATAATTTCCGTGAATTTTTTACATTGATATCTGATAAAGTTTAACATAATGATCTTGAAATTACAACAATGAGAAGGTTTATCGTTATTGATCAATAATCAGTGCCTTCTGCATTATTAAAGTCGGACACGAAAAATCAAAGTAAAATAGAAGGGGAGAACACATATGCGTATCAATTGCACAAGACACATGATAATCGCTGTGTTCCTTATAAGTACAATTTGTCCTCAAAACTTGATCAACTGAAAATGTTTCCAGAGCCATCAAGCAATTAATTGAACTTTTGGACACATAATTTCTAAGTAAAATCAGAATCCAAATAATCTTGGCACAACTTGGCTTTGACAGTATCCAGGAATAAATTTCAAGTTGAGAGAAGTGACAAAATTATTTCATTGACAATGTACGTCACTTACTGACCCTGCTGCAACGTTTTCACTGCTAAATTAAAATGTGCAGACGCGTGTGCTACTTGGACTCTTACCAAGATAATAATTGCTACGCATCAGTAAGTCCATCTTAAATATGAATCGCTGTATACAAAATATATCTTTCTAATTCTCATATAGTGATAATTATAGAATATAAAGTACAATAAAGAGACTTACCTTATAATTATATGCATTAGTTAAAACAAGATGTTGATCATCACTTCCAGATAATATCAATTCTCCGCTGTTGTTCCAACATATAGAATTTACGCAACCATTGTGGACCTTCAGGCTCTTCAGTAATGACATGCGCTGAATTAGCTGTAGACTAGCTGTAAAACAGTAAACAATTTCTCAAATACAATGACTTGCCATCTATTATTAGGATAAGCATTAACTTTTGACCAAATGGTGAAATCAAACTTCTGACCAAATGGTGAAACAACTGTGAGATTTCAAAACTTTGTATCATTAAATGTGCGATTGGAAGATATGAAAGGAACTGATTACAGTTTAAATCAGCAATTGTCATTATAAAAGAATTATCAAAAAATAAAAGAAAAAAAGAGAAAAGCAAATGAAAATACAAACTAAATAGTAAGGTAAATAATCGCATTAGATTTGTGATTAATTAATCCACTAGTATTCTTCTCTTTCTTTTTCACTCTCTTTCTCTCTCTCTCTCTCTCTCTCTCTCTCTCTCTCTTTCTCTTAAGTAACGTTTCAAAACTGAAACAATAACAAAAGTCACGTCCCCGATTACATGTTACAGCGCAGAGCCATCGTCTGTGATTTTATGATTGCATGCTAGTATCTATCGACTACAAATAAACATATTGGCAAGTTACCTTTACTGCTGGAGTAAAGCTTAAGCCTCGCACTGTCATCGTACGGCTGATAGTAAATATCGCGGAAGATATTGGATCGCGTCTTCCTCATGATGATCTCCGGTCAAGCTACCAGCTGACGACAAATCCCAGCAACGTGTAGATCACCCGGCTGTTCAAGCGTGCCGAAATGGTTAACGCATGGATGCTCGTTTCGAAATTCGTTTTTATTGTCGCGTGCAACGGCGGGCAAAGTTAGAGCGGTGCGCGTTCCTTGCACAATTCCGCTCGTCCCAACCTCAGGAACTCGACAACGCGTAGTTACGCAGCAAAAATCCTGATGTCGATGCGTAGCGACGACGTGACATGGCACTAAACTCGTTATGTACTAAAAATAAATGCAACGATGCGAGCGCGGAAAATTGCGTACGTACGCGACGCGCGATCTCTCTCGCACGGCAACCTCGACGTTCGTTCGCGATCACCACCTTTGCTCTGTGTCGCGCGTAACAGCTGGGAACAGCTGAGCAAGCCACACACATTGACGATCTCTCCCTCTCTCCTTCTCCCCATCTCTCTCACTCTCTCACTCATTCTCTCTCTCTCTCTCTCTCTCTCTCTCTCTCCTTCTTTCTACTCTTCTCACTCACACAAACTAGCCTCCAGCGTCTGATAATACGAATTTCTCGACACCACTGTTTGATGAGCGATGTAACCAGTCATAAATTATGGCTATCTATAGTGATTTTACCATTTCCTTTAAAAATTCTGTTATGAGATCAAATAATTCAAGTTTATTTTGAAGGGTTGTCTGATAAATGACCCACTGACAATTAAGAACAGATAATGTTCGGAGGAGTACAGGAATATACGAAAGTGGCACCTTGGCTTACATAATTCAAAGAATACTATCGAATGTAATGTTAAAGGTTCATTACGAAATGCCTGAGTTTTCGAAATATCGCTGAAAAAAAAAAGACAATTACTTGGAGATAGTTCAGACGGAGGAGTGACAAATCGAATCCATAGAGGATGCTGTACTGATCGTTTCATTGGCTACGAAAGATTTGAAGACGAACTCAAGATGAACTTAAATAAAAGAACGGACTATGAATAAAGCTTAGTTCGCTCTCAGTGCGCATTAATACATCCAATCAAATTCATCCTTAGCTACACAGTTCTCTCAAACGTGAGCTTCTTTCCTCAGAGAGAAACCTGAGAGCGGCCAATACGGCATTTTCTGCGACACCGACTTTCCGCACTGGGAAAGGACGCCATCTGCATCCATTTTGAGAGAGGAACTACGATGCTACATCCACTTTCAGGTCTCGGTGGTAAAATCTGCATGTGGCGGAAGTCCGTGCATATTTTGAAACATTTTCTCTGGAATATCAAACGGATTTCCCATATCACGTAATATCCTTCGCGCTACACAGACATTATTTTGATCATTTTAATTTCTTTGATATTTATTAAGACCCAGAACGCAACTGCCATGTTGAACGACAATTATTGTGTGAAATGTTTCGATTTTCACAAATTCGTATAAAATTATTCATTTTTCACTAATTCACAGAAGTCTTCTTTTTACTAGTTTTCACTAGTTCACGCTAGGGAAAAAAATTCATGACCGCTGCTCTGGTTACACATGGAGAGAAATCTGAGATCGGTCATTAAGCTGAATTCCAAGAAACGCATTTTTCGACGCTCCCTCTGAGAAAGTGCATGTGCACTTTGCAGTTATCATCGGGACGGGTGAAGTTCACATGCACTTTCTCAGAGAGCGCGTCGAAAAATACATCCCTTGGAATTCAGCCTAATGGCCGGTCTCAGGCTTCTCTCTGGTATCTCTCAACATTGTAGATCGTACGTCTCCTTCTTTTGATCACTTCCGTGTTGGATGTGGTTCCTGTTACTACGCATAATTTTGATCGTGGAGACTGCGTAAACGTTGGTCCTGTTTTTCTTTTACTTTCGTAATCGTTGACTGGCGTAGGAAATTAAGGCCGTGTTCTAAAATTCACTGCCACCGCTGAAAAGTTATAGTTTGCATGACACAAATTATATATTTGAATTTTGGAATATAACAGTTCTGCTCATAGTCATTTATTGAACTAGAACCAGTAGATTGCACGTGGGTCGTGAATCTTTATTCAGGTTAATAAAATTTATCTGAACAGTTGTGCTGTGAATTAATCACATAATGGGTATAACAAAACAAAAAACGCATCGGCCAGGTGCGCTTAAACAAGCTAATAAGCAACACAAGACTGGAAGGCATCGTAGCAAAGGTGTTATTAATAATGAACAGAAAGGTAGACGAATCTTATAAACATTGAATCAATACATTTTATAATATAGATTAATAATTGTAATCTAATTGAACATATAAGCAAAATTTTTTGAGGAACAAGAGCAAATCTGTGTCAATATCTTAAAATATTTTTATGTTGATTTTGTGACAACTTTTATATTGTAGGTAAGCAAAGTACTGCTAAGACATTATCGAAATGTTTGAAGAAAACTCTAGGAAAGGATGCACGTAGACATCAGTTATCGCAAATTAGGAAAAAGAAATGTGATGAGATATTAAAGCAGAAGAGAAATAATGGATCTATTTCTGCACCTCATCTTATTTCTGTTATACCATTACAAAGCGACACAAATATCCAAGATATAATATCCATCATAAAAAGCATGAATGAAACTGCTAATATTGCTACTAGTGCATGTGGAGTTTTACATATAGGGTATGCTATACAAAATTATCTATTGTATTATTAGAAAATAAATTAGAAGCTAAATGTTTACTAATCTGTTGACTACATATATAGCATACCAAGATTTAAACAGAGATATTCTATTATTGTACCACCAGTGGGTAATGTTTTTGCTACTTTGGATGCAGCCAAAGTAGCTAACACAATACTTTTTGTAACCTCTGTCGCAAATGATACAAATGATACAAAAAAAGAAGCTATAGATGATTGGGGCAAGGAAATTATTGTATCCTGCCTTACTCAAGGTTTATCTGCTGCAATTTTTGCTGTGCATAATATGCAGAAACTTCATATTAAAGTAAGTATAGCATATTTAGATTTTAGGAAAGAACATATTAAATTATTTAGTTAATTTTGTATATATTATTTCATAAATTATATGAAATCTGTAGTATACTTTATTAATCAAATAGTTTATATGCTCATATTAAATATTAATTTGTATGTTTAAAATGGTGTTATAGAAACATCAAGAATATAAACAATCTTTGCAAAGTATTGTCTCAAAATGGATTCCTGTAGAAAAGGTGTTTGAGCTTGATACTGAAGCTGATTGCTTAAATATATTATGTCGTGCTGGATCACAGAAACAAAGAAATATATTTTACAGAAATAAAAGACCACATCTTTTGGCTGAAAAATTTTCCTTCAAATGTGATGAAGTATGTTGGACTATTATATTTTAACTGATACTTTTATATAACAATGTGCAGTATGTCACTCAATGACAATTTTCATTCAATTAGGATTCTTCTGATTTTGGGACTCTCTCAGTTACTGGTTATTTACGCGGTTCACTATTGTCAGTTAATGATTTGGTTCATATACCAGGCTTTGGAGACTTTCAAATGTCGTGCATTGAAGGACCAAGAGATCCATATCCAATTGAGCATCCCAAATGTAAAAACCATTTTGAAACTGAGTCTGAAATGGAGGACCCAGTGTCTCCGTATATCCTGCAAATAGCAGATCCTAAACATCAGGTTTTTACATAATTGCTTATGATCTTGATAATTCATTTATATAATATCAATAATCCTATATTGTATGTGCACACAACATATATATAGAATAATATAGAATGTATAGAACATATATATAGAATATATAGAATGTACAAAACTTTTAGGAATCTCTTGAAAGTGAAAATATTCCTGACCCAATGGATGCTGAACAAACGTGGCCTACGGAAAAAGAATTGGCTGAAGCGGCAGCTAGAACAAAGAAAAAAATTGTAAAAATTGTACCAAAAGGTACCTCTGAATACCAAGCTGCCTGGATACCGGATGAGGATGCAGGTATTATATGTCTTTACTTTTCTTTTAATCTTCTTTTGTTCTTTCTCTCAAAATTTTTTTTTCAGAGGCTCTGAGTATTGATTCAGACAACGAGTCTGAGGATAACATGTCTGTGGAAGAAGCAAGGTCTGTAAATACAGACAGTGATAAAAATATAGAAGATGATGAAGAATATGAAACTATTACGATATCGGAAGCACCTTTGGACGAAGAACGATACGATAAAAATCTCGATATGCTTGAAGAAAAGCAAACTCTGGAGATATTGAAAGGTTGTTATCTTCTTCATGTTTCTGGTATATTTTTAGTGTTATTTTAACAACTTTATAATAACTTGTAGAAGCAAAACTGGACGCGCAATTTCCCGATGAAGTGGATACGCCTCAAAATATGTTAGCTAAAACGAGATTTCAAAAGTATCGTGGTCTCAAATCGTTACGTAATAGTTTTTGGGATCCAAAAGAGAATCTTCCCACTGATTATTCTCGGATATTTCAATTAAAAAATTTCGATCACACACGGAGACGTATTTACAAACAGTGTGATAATCTCATTGAAGGGATTCAGGTATAAGAATTGTTTCTTATGTTTTATATTGCTAAGTAAGATCTTTGAAAATTACATATGTGCATATTGTCTTATATTTATTATTACTTACATATATTTTATGTTTAATTTATGATTTCAGCCGGGCAGATACATAACAATTAAGATTCTTCGCGTTAGCAGTAATATCTTTAAAACATTTGCTATGGTGGAGAATCAACCATTAATAGTGTTCGGTTTACTTCCATATGAAAATAAAATATCTCTTTTGAATATAATGTTGAAACATTCACACAATTACACGCAGCCGATTAAGTCAAAGGATAGATTGGTTTTTCAATGCGGTTTTAGAAGATTTGCGGCGTGTCCGATATTTAGCCAACATACGGCCAGCAATAAGCATAAGGTAAATTGTAAAGTTATATCTCAATTACTATTGTAAAATATGTTTGACATATTAGATCAAAACATATGGCACAAGAATTTAAATTCTTGTTATAATAAATATGTTTTAGTACGAAAGATACTTCCACCCTGAAAGTACTGTTGTGGCGAGTATGTACGCACCGATTACATTCCCGCCATGTCCAACTCTTTGTTACATTGAAAATAAAAGCGGCAAGCTCGTATGTACTTTATTGATATTATTAGTATTGTTCTAAAACTTTTTATACAAAATCAATATGAGGTTTTCGTCTTAGATTCGAACGGAATTAATATCCTGTCTTTTTGTTTCTTTTTTTTTTTCTTCTTTTTTAAGGAGTTGGCTGCAACCGGAAATGTACTATCTTGTAATCCCGACAGAATTGTCGTGAAACGAGTTATTCTAAGTGGTCATCCCTATAAAGTAAATAAGAGATCGGTAGTTGTGCGCTTCATGTTTTTTCACCGCGAGGATATCGAGTGGTTCAAGCCTGTCGAATTGAGGACGAAATATGGACGTAAGGGCCATATAAAGGAATCTCTTGGTAAGTTGTATATTTTTGAACTATTATTTTTTGCATCTATATAACCTGTATATTGATTTCAACGCAATGTTTAATACTTATATAATTCCTTATAGGTACACATGGACATATGAAGTGCGTGTTCAATGGCCGACTAAAATCACAAGATACAATTTTAATGAATTTGTACAAGCGAATATTTCCAAAGTGGACTTATGAACCATTGTTATTGACACAACTATCATATAATTCGGAAATTATGTACGTAGAATAATTATTATGATTAAAATAAAATATTTGAAGTAAATAATCTTCACTCTGCAGAAAGCATTTTGTACAACATAATCTACTATGTGAACGTTGTAATAAAGTATTGACGCACGAAAGAGGAGAATTGCAAATTTCAATGGTATTGTAATAATTTTCAATCAATTTTACCGATCAATGCTAATTGCTAATAATGCTATTTTGATATTTGATTCTGCATATTCCTATTTCTTAACAAACTCTAACTTAGTCCAACTCCATTCTACGTCAATTATATAATAATTAGACTAGGTCAGATTTTTCAAATTAATCCTCTCCTTTGGAAAATTATTCATGAAGATATAAAATGGAGTTAATATGTTCTGAAAACACACACAAAAAATTACGAACAACCTTCTTGTCTAGAAACATACAATTTATATAAAAAATATATTTGTTGAACTTAAAGATGTAGAATTTGCAATACATATAGTCTAATGCATTGTCTCTGTGTATAAATATATAAACAAATAAAAAAATTATACAAATATAAATAAATAAATACACAAATAAATATATAATTATATATTATAGGAAAAATTATTCATATACATGTATATTTTGTTGTACAAACTTCTTATTTGTTTTATTAATATTATATATATATATATACATACATTGTGTATATATTAACATATAATAATAAATATGTAGTTTATGCGTTTGTTACATGAAAGTGTTACTTTTAAAAAGTAATGCGTTACTATTACTCGTTACCCGTGGAAAAAAGTAACTTATTATCGTTATTGTCATTTAAGTAGTAACTAATCGTTACTTTCTTTTTTCAAACAAGTTTTGATTAAAATTTATTTCTGTCCATTCTATACAGATTAAGTTTCAAAACGATTTAAATATTTTCCTGATCTAAAGATGGGAATTTGTTCCTAAAAAATTCCTAGAAGTTAAGTTCTCTCAGACATCTGTCATGTTCCAAACTGCATGCGAAAGAACTGTTTAAATCATTTTGAAACTTCGCATGTATTCTTTATGTGCGAAGGGACGATAAAAGTAGCGATTATATTCGTTATCATTACTTAAAAAGCTATTACTTATAATTGCATTACCGTTATTGTTATTTGTGAATAAAATAATAACATCATTACCTAAATGCTACTGAGAAGAAAAGTAGTTGAACACGGTAAGGCTTTACAAATGTAACGCGTTACTTCTAACTTCACATATTATAATAGGTTTAATATAAATTGCATAACATATTATGTATCAGATTTTCCAATATTATTAATATAACTATAACGGAGTATAATAAATAAGCACACATCGAAACTAAATTAATTCTTGAAAATTATTAAATTTTATTCCTTCAATTCTTTATGGTGCTACGTTAAGTTTATCTCGGCATCGTTTTAGTCAATTCTATATAAATCGGCCTTTAATTGTTATAATAATATTATAATATATATAATATTATATTGGTACATGTATATTCGAAGTAGAAATGTATTAATATGTGCTTATATATAAATATTGAGTTAGTTAAATATTTATTAAATATTGAAGTAGACGTAAATCATATAAGATATTGTCGTGAAATAAATCAATTTTTATGAATCAGTTAAGAATCAGAGGAGAAAAGTCATAAACAATTTAAATTATAAGTATGTCTATTATCTGCTATTAACTTATTAACAGCAAAGTTAATATAAGAGTAATTAATTTTCAGCTAATTTATATGAATTTTTTTCTCGTCATGTAGTAAAATTATCAGAATATTGAATATAATAGTATAATTTCAGTAAACAATACTCTGTTAAGATATTCTTCAAATAAACTATATTAAAATTTTATAATACTATCTCAATTATTTCAGTCTCAGTTTTGACATATATTGAACTTAAAATTGAACGTTAAGTTTACTTAATTCATCTTGTAATATTTTTGCGATATTAAATTTAGAAGATTTTGCGTCTTTTCATGCAATTAATACCGTTTAACAATTATTAATACTGTTAGCCAATTGTGTACACAGTATATTATCTTGTTACACCTGCAAGAGAAAAGTTTATATTTAATAATAATTCATATCTTATAATCAATTCTGTGGTTGATAATTTACATTAATTATTAGCAAAATTAATAGCATTTAATAAACCAAAGAATTCAATAAAGACACACACATATTTGATATGATGATCAAGTATCTTTCAATTGGACACATTTTTTTATATATTTCAGTTTTTCAAGTATAATTTTTTACTTGATGAGTTTTACCTTCATTTTTCTCAGATAGCACGACACGTTCTGCGATTATTCTGAATACAACGGACGTCCTGAGACGTTCCCAGGACATCTTGGATATATCTAAGACGATTCTAAAATCTTGTGTTATTTGGATTATTTTACTCACTTCATATATCTGGTTCCTTGAAGTGCTACCTTAGAATCTCTTGTAAATGTACTTATCGTGACGGAAAATTAATATAATTTTCAAGTTTTGATCGCTGTCTATATTTACAATCTATATCTCAGTCTATATAACAATCGATAGATATTAATAATTTGCATTATATTAATAGCAAGTTATACGTATACATATAATAAATTTAATTGTACATAATTATATTAATTGTGAGATTTAGAGGTTTGGACTTTCTGCAAAACAATTGATTTAAAATTCATTGATTGGAATAAAATGATCTAAGAAAAGATTTTACTATCATATTTAGCATTTCGTTACACATTCTCGTTGGCTTTATGTTCATATTTATCATTTTGTTTAAAAAAAAATTCATTAACGAAAGGATTGTTACATTGAAACGTATTAATAATTTATAATCAATATTAACGTATGTGTTTGTGCATATTGTCCATTTGTGTTGTTCAACATTTGTGTTTTTTAACATTGTGCATGTTGTCCATTTGTGTTTTTTAATATTTTATATAAATAAATAAATAAATAAATAAAATTATGTATAATTATTAGATATTTATTGTGTAATAATATATATTCAGTATGTGTTTTGTATTTTACTATTATTTATTTATTTATTTATTTATATATGCATATATGTATCTTCTTTTTACTAACAGATATAATAATTACCTTTGATGTATTCGGTATTTATGCTCATTGAACTCTGGTACAAAGTCACTAGTATTGAGAAATAATAATTTATAATCAATAGTTTACATATATAATACATATAAAATATACAATCAATATAATAAATGCAATTGCCAATTTTTAGCCGTTAACTAAATGTCCACATTGATTAGATTTATACATATATAAATATTGAAGAAAATAAACTTACGTATTCAAATATGGCCAGAATAAAATATGTATTAACAATAATATCGCCTTTAAGCTTATAAACATTAAAAGTAAATCCTCAAAAATTGAATCAGGGACAGAATTAAATAGTTTAAAAAAGAAATAGTGTATTATGTGAAATAACAGCGAGTACGCTATGCCCGCCATAAAGATCACGTATTTAGACATTTCTAGCGCAATATACGTATTCATTTAATTTCTTCCGCCGGTAGATTCCTATAAAATATAAAATACTCGTATTTTTACCAGATCGTCTATTGCAAAAATTATTCGTATCTCTTATTGATAGTAGATTGCAAGATTATTGTGTCTTTTATTTATCGTACGAGGCGAAAATAAATTTTACTATTGCTACGTGCTTTATATTGCTATGCCTTCAATTGATAAAGTAAACGAGATTAGTTAACCGTTTATAATTGAATATTATTATCTCATTTTTATAATATATATATTATACATTCTTATTGTCATATTACTTATATTATTCTCATATATTCATATCCGTAATATTATAGTGCACAATGGTTATATTAATGTACAGTTATTATGCATATATTAATATTTTTATTTTAAACACATTCTACATGGTTAATTAATTTTTCACAAAGAGCGATATGGAAAAATGTCTGCACCTACCTTGTCAAATGTGTTTTTGCTAAATTACTAACTTTTTGATGTGTCGACGACTTTTATGAATTTACCAACAAATCATCAAACTTCTGTCGGTAAAGGTCGACTATTATGTTTATATTTTCATTGTTTGTCGTTAATTTTAAATTGTAAACATGACACATCACTGAAACGTATATACAAATATATGTGGAGAATATGAATTCAGGAATCGAACTGTGCCGGTCCGATAATGCGGAAACAAAGACGAATATTCTTTGTATACTATAAAGGTTGAATAATTTCAATGTTTTTACAGAAATCGAGCTCTGCGGTGGATTTTTGAACAAATGATCGAATAATTCCGGCACAATAATCCTAATAAATATCAATCAACAGTAACATTACATTAATGTTATAATTTCCCACTTAACAATATAACCGTTACTGTTATTGTTGAGTGGGAAGTTATAACATTGGTGTTACATCACTGATAGTTGATGTTTACTGGGATCAAATTGTTTCCTAATTACGCTGTTTATTTTGTCATTCTAAATATTAGGATTATCTCGAGCATCGTGTGTATTTTGTATCGTTCGATTTTTAATAGATATATTATACATCATCGTAATTGGCGGCCTCGCGGCGTGTTGCGTCGTCGAACATATCGATATCTCGATAACTTGTAAATTTCGAGAAACTCAATCGCGGCAATGTTCAGTTGACTGGGGACGATCGCGACGCGTTAACACGGATTCGAAGAGTCGTCTCATATTTACGATTTTAACTCGCGGGAGGTGAGTGTCGGGCTCGAATTGTCGTCACCGGGAAATACGGTAAGTTCCGCTCATTTTTGCGCGATGATATACCGTGAGATTACGTCGGGAGTGAATATCTCGCGGAATAGGCCGTCTCGGGGCTACCGGATGAAGTGCCGCGCGAGTACGTTGCGTAATGGCAGTTAACGTTTCGAATCGCTGTTCGTTATGACTTCGGCTGGTCGGAAGGAAAGTTTTGTGCGCCAAATATCGTCGGAAGTGCGCGGATCGGGACTTTTGTGCGGGTTCGTTGTGACAAAATATCCTCGAATTGCTGCGGGAAGCGTACGTATTTCGAGATGGATCTTCGGTGCATTCTACGCCGCGACTCGCCATGGGTTAAACCGGTGAGTATTTGCATCGACTGATAATATGAACACTAAGCAGTTCTGTATGCCATATCTTATACTGATTCTATTTGATTTTGTATGAATATAAAAGCGATTAGGCAACCTAGAATATAATAAGGAAAGTGAATATAGTCTGGCACTAAAAGCCAAAGTAACGACAATGCATTGAACGTTAAAAGCATCGTTACAGGCTTAGATAAACATGAAAAATTTGTTCGATGGTTAACACTCATATCTATGATACAATTTTTCTTTCTCCTCACTGAGGCATCGACAATGCAGGAATAATGTAGTCGATGTTCTTCTATTTTCTGGAGATTTTTAGTCTTACCGATAATCGCAAAATTTTACTCACGGTCGATGTCTGACAAGTGTCGCCATCTGGTAGAATATCTTGTGATTAATCGAGACCTCGTCGAATATGCATGCGGGAGAAAGTGTCACTGTCAATAATTTTGCGGTGTATAGAATTCGTTCTTTACTCGTTTATTCTCGTTAACATTTGTATTTCTGATCGTATAATGTGATATAAGTGTGTTATTGAAGATAAAAGCTGAAGAAAAGCAAGTGCTGTACGATTGTCAAAGTAACCTGTTAAAAAAAGAATGGTATTACGTTGCTAAAAATTCACAAGTACATACAGAAGTAACGTACAGAAAGAAACTCGTTGAGAAAATGCTTTGCCGCGATGGAACGCTCAGTCTATTTTGTTTTATCGTGGCCGGTTTGGTCTCGCTTCTTCCCGAGCTCTTATTGAGACTAGAACTCGACATCTATGTTTCATACTGTGCGAATGTCTGGCTTCTACATGCCATACAATACATTGTTATAAATATATTCGCATTTCTGGCATTCCGTGATTTTTCCTATCAGGTAAATATTCATCATTTCGTTTTATATCATGTATTTTATTTACAACTTTATATTCACGATATTCCTTTCCTCTTCAAGGTTGCAGTCAGAGCATTGTTCCTTGGATATGTCTTTGGAATTGGTATCTTGGTGTCACTTATTGCCCCACCGTCATGGCAGATATTTGGCATTTATATGACAGTATTAGCAACTTTTCATTATTCAGAATTTTTGGCTATAGCGTGGGCCAATCCTGCTACTTTGTCAATTGATAGTTTTATCCTCAATCATAGTATAATGTACGGTGTGGCAGCATCTCTTAGTTGGTTAGAATTCTTTGTAGAAAGATACTATTGCCACAACATGAAGTTACTTTCATTTGTGTCCTGTTTCGGCTTAATGTTATGTGTCTTTGGTGAAATACTGAGAAAATCAGCAATGTGTACCGCAAAACACAATTTTAATCATTATGTGCAAAGTGAGAAAAGTGACAATCAAGAACTTGTCACTCATGGTGTATATAGTCTGTGTAGGCATCCCAGTTATGTAGGATGGTTTTATTGGTCAGTTGGAACACAGGTAAAAAATAAGAATTTCTCACAGTAAGTCTCTTAACACACTGCAGACTATGATATTAAATCATATGAATATCTTATATTTCCATGTGTTTTAAAAATATAAAATTATATATGCATTTATTTACAAGAAATTGTAAACTTATTGATTATAATCTTCTATACAAATTTGAAACCTGTAATTAATGAATATATATATATAATGCTTTTTAGCATACTACTTATCAAAACACTGTCTCTAATTTCTGGTCTGCAATATGTTAACCTTGGACTTTTATGATATACTTAATTAACTTTTCTAAATTCTTTATTGCAGTTAATACTTCAAAATCCACTGTGTTTGATCGCATACGCATGGATGTCGTGGAACTTCTTCCATGATCGTGTTCTAATGGAAGAATTAACTTTACTTGATTTCTTTGGCGAAGACTATACTGAATATCAGAAAAGAGTAGGAACTGGACTTCCATTTATTTCTGGATATAAAGTTAATTTATAGTGACCAGCATCAGTGTAATTTTATGTTGTCAAGTTCTTTCTAACGAAAGAAAAGGAAATGGAGAGACATGTGTTTATAATAATAAATTTAATAGGTTAATTTTTTAATTAAATTAAAATTTCCTCTTTATATTTGTGATATGTGCTTAATTAATATTTGCCAATTTACATATTTTTTTGTACGTCTGGTCATAAGTCTAATCTTCAACGGTTTTGCTACTAAATGTAATTATAGATATTCGTTGTGGAATGACTATCTTTTTTTGACCAGAGTTTTGACTGTAACAAAAGGCTTATAAACTTATTTATGGAAAAATCTCAGGTTTAATATAGTAATTGTTACTAAATAATTGTAATGTGTATGTGGTTGTACAAAATAGCAACATGTAAATATTGTAAAATTGTGTAATAAAATTTCTCTGTTTAATATTTGACTTATGTTTTATAGATATTAGGAATAAGTTTGGAGTGTAAGGAAAATTGAGGTTGTAAGTGGAAATTTGCAAATTTTCTAAAACATTATATCTGAATATTTATGATGAAACAACTGAAATACACAGGTTGTTAGCAAAATTATATTTATTGTCTCATTTTCTTTGAAGAATTATTGTGTAACAATAGACTACATTTTTATATTACTGTAGATACTTTCAGTATATGATTTTATATGTATAGGATGGAATAATTATTACCTTAAAATCCGTTTCTAGTTGAATCTAGTTGAGTAATTCTAGATGTCTGGATAGCATTGCGATTGTTTGTATCTCGACACCACAATTGCATAAAGAAGCTATTGCAGTTTATAATATTTGTTATTTCACCCTATACATATATAATGCAATATGCATACATGTAATGCAATATGCGTTATTATGTAATTAACGTTTGCATGAACATCCAAAAGCATTCATTCGATGTTGATATATGATTAAAATGTTAGAATATAATAATATACAAGCACATATATATATATATAGATATATATATATATATGTGTATATATACGTGTGTTTTCTGTACATGATCATTTACAATATGCTGATAGAGCCGTAGCGGACATAGAAAATTTCACAGGATCTATGATACATTATTTCACGTTGGTATCTGTCTCTCAGTGAATTTTCAAGACAAAGAGAATCTCATTAAGTGATACTTATTCCATTACACGTGTAATATATCGCTAGCTGATCATTTGACATATCTCGCATTTATATATATGTATATATTAAAGGATACGTTAATTAAGAGTTTTAATATCGCTAATAGGCACTCTGCCGCACAACGTATTGAACAGTCACGTCATAAAAAGTGTAATAATTTATTTATTAGATAACTGCTGATAAAATAATTGTTATATAAAAAAGTATAGAAGAGACACACGGTTTAATGCCATTGTGCCATTCTAGGCAGATCTCTGTTACATGTTAAGTGTCTCATAATTATATATTGTGGATATTTTCCACTTGAATCTATTTCTGTCAAAAACTATGAAAGGAATACATAAAATTGCGCAAGGGAAATATGTTTAATTGAGAATTATATGATAAACTATATAATGACAAAAAGTAAAAGCATTCCATCTGTATGCGAGATAATTCAATTTAAAGAGGTATAAATTGTGTTTGTCGTTTAATATGCGGGAATACATTCGAATGATTTATTTCTGTATAAACAATAACGTGAATTATTCTTCACTTGTGAACTCAATAATGTGAATTATACTTCACTTGTTTTGTTCTGAATAATGATCCGATTGTACTTGTATGGTTCTAACGGACGAATAATGATCATTATTACTTTCAAATTGTACATTTTACTTTCATGAAATCACCAATATAGGGGATATTAGAGAAAATGCAGATTACTGCTCATTTGTATATATATATATATATATACACGTTTCTCGTGATATATTTGATATCAATTTTACATAAGTAGCAATATATTTTTCACTAGCACCAATTCTTCTTAAGTATTGCGATTTTTTTATACATATCTTTCTTTATTTCTTCTGACTGACTTGAATGAAAAAGTACATAGGATCGTTCGATGTTGTTGCTATGATCTGCTATTCATTTTTTATTTATCACTTATTTATCGATTCTTGATTACCTGTCTATTAAAAATCGCATATAAGCACCTACATATACGGGGTGTTTTAGAATTAGAAGTAAAGACTGTACAGTGGCTAGTAAAATCGTTCAGAATATGACAGACATGCATTTATATGCAAATCAGATTATTCAAATAAATAATATCGATCATGTTGAAATGTGGATAAGTGATAAGAACTGGTGAACTTTAGTTTGAATTAATATTAGCGATTAGTAATATTGCAAAACGTCAAGTTTTTTTTCGCGATTATAAACTACAATAACAAAAGAATATTTTATCATACTATTTTCCAATTTTAATGTCTCTTTAAATTAATCCAATTTGTTTTATAAAATTGTATAAAAACAAGACGATATAAAAAAAAATTGCGAATATGTGCATGTTGAATTATGCGTAAATCTTTAATGTCCTGAATTCTTTGATATATCAGTAATTATATAATATGTGTATAACTGTTCAACAAACTTAGCTTGTCAAATAAAAGACTAAATATCTGGAAAACGATGGCTTGGCAGATAGATGTTTGTTAAGACATTTTTGTTTATCTTTTGTTTGTATTTTGTTAACTAGTCGAGTCTTTACCTATAATTCTGGAACACCCTGCATGAGATAAACGATAAGTATTCAGCAAGGTATGAGTGCAATCTGGATTTGGAGAATTGTAATATTTATTAAATGTTCCATTTGATTATTAATGTATGTCCTCTGTTTTGAGAATTTTCTCTTTTACGACGGTCTATAATATTTAATATCAATGAAAAAATTAACGTGTTCGCGCAGCTTGTATATTTCGCATTATAAATATATAAATATATGCTCCTTTCAAACAGTAAACATTTGATACCTAATATCGCATAGAAAAAGTTGTTTATTGTTTCCACAACAAAATGCTTTTGCTGCAAGAATTTATTTATTGTCTTTTCAGTAACGGCAGAGATATCAAAATCCCATTAGAACTTTGATTACACTCATACGCTAGTGAATAATATTTATCTTCTATACGACGCCGTCGGCAAACCTGCTTTATATCATCACAAATATGAACAAATCAGTATATGGCAGTGGAAAATTATAGACTATATGCTTCATCGTTAATGCATTTCCGTTCCGTATCAGTCATCTTAATAGCTGTTTGTAATATACAGCTTGTTTCGCAAAAGCAACATGTCGCCAAAGTCAGAATAAAGAGAAGAAGAAACGCAAAGAATATCACATCGTTAGCAGGGAAAACGTGATTTTTAACTGGAGAATTCATTGCGTGATATCTGTCATATTTACATCGCAACCGACGAACTTCCAGAATGATTTTCTAAATCATTCTTTAAATGCACAGATTTTCTGCCGTTTTCGAAACAACGTTCCGTTACATGCGAATCGAACGTATATATTTCTCTTCTCGTACAAATAAAAAGCTGTATAAAAAGTTACTTTAATTATAAAATATTTCGATGGCAATATATGGGTGCGAGAGATAGACTCTGTATACCTGTGGATATAAAACTGTTCACACATGTCTCGTCAAGCATTACCCACTTTCGTATCTTTTATACACTTTGTCTCGTTTATAATGAGCAGTGGAATCAGAGAGATACATGTTACGCGTTAAATATGTTTCACATCTTTCGATTCTCGCGATGTCCTGTCGACGAGCAAATTATTTTCTTATCTCAGTCGAGAAGTTGCGCCCTTTAGATCGTGCAATGCCGAAACGACGTTTGATTAGCTTAATATTAGAGATTTGCTTTTGATCCTTTATATACTTAGAAAGTCCTTCACAAAACACATTAGTTACGTATGAAAATTTTAACGGATACACTTGGCTTAACTTGGCCTTCGACGTTTATGCGTGAACGGTGTTACCGCTCGATAGTAATACAAGTTTGCAGTACGTTCCTCGAATGTACATAGAGTGCAGATCTCTTCCTCCTATTATCCGCGCAGGTCACCGCGCGTTGGAGATCTGTCAGCCCGATCGCTGCAAGATAAAAGCACACGAAGGTCAATGAGTGCTTATATATGAATTTTGTTTTTATGTTATTTCTATTACACATACAGCCCCACATATACGGGAAAAAGATGCTGCTGAGTGCGAAAGGGAAAAAGTTCGATTCAATTGAACGTCGACATGGAACATGGACCGCCTCGAATATAATTTACATTGCTCTCATTAGCATTTACTCGAATTGTACATCAGTATTTTTCCCAACGCAGATATATATATATATATATATATATAATTACGTATGATCGTATGTGGCCATATAAATTCATAATCATTTTTTCTTAGGTGGTCAATTTTGTTTTGCGCACGATATGTCGACGATAACGGGGAGGCAGAATTGAAATGATCTGAGAATGACGTACCGTGTAGTCTCGCCGTGTTGTCTCCGCGATGTCGGGGAGGGTGAAGCGTTAAATATAATTTACAAATCTATTAGCTGTACATGTCGTATGCGACACACGCGGAGATGCACACTCTCCAGAGCACTGTACATTATCGCGTTTCTCGATGATGAAGAGCGAGCCTAGTCTAAAGAAGAGCGTGCACTTCCGACGAGTGAGAGATCGATAAATACATTCCGATATATAATATAATACGCCGTTATTTAGCTCAATAAGCCTTTGAGAAGGTTAACCGCGTCTATGCACAACAACGTGAAAAGTACACTTTGTTCCTTAATGTCTCTAGTTAAAGCGATCAAATTTTGAAGTATAATCAACAACGAGTAACTCGTGATGTCGTACGCGGCCAGATTGGCCGCGGGTTTCGGGTGAATAATATTCACCGGCGGTGGTGGCACGAACGCGTCGAACACGTCTGCGTCTGCGTCCGTAAATACTAACGAAGACGGGATCCACCTCACTCTAAGCAGCGTGCGAAATCACATCCAACGAGATTAGTCATTCGAAATGGCGTTTTGCTGAAAGGACCGTGACTATTCGGCTATATTCTGATCGCGTATATTCCTGGATTGCTGATTCGTACTCGATTATCGTATTTTTTGCGTCGCACTCCTTGTTGGTTCGGAACCAACAGTAAGTACTGAATATAACAATTACACCGCCGAGTGAGAAATTGTAATGAGAAATAAAGCGGCGGATGGTCGATCATCGATTCGTGAAATGAAAATATAACGGAGAGTTCTGATTTTGTACGCGACTGCCGATAATCTTCAATTGTTCCTCTAATTTCTTCGAACAACCGTCCGAATCTTCAATCCAGATTTCAATGTCACTTCGGAATACATCCGAAAATTCGCGATCAAACTTCTCGAAGAAACTTCTCCCTATCACCTTCGCGTATCGTTTCTTCGTAAACATTACGCTACTTCGTATTCGCATCTCACCTGGTGCAGGGTGAGACGTTTATTCCCCGGATGGCCTTCTCGCCGATATCGATGGCCCCCGAGTCTTGCACCTCCAAGGTGTAGATACAGCCGGAGAAGCCATCGTGGTATCTGCCGTAGGTCATCGCGTAATCCGGCACACCTCCCAGGTAAACGCTACCTCGCGTCCCCAGCATCTGCTGGAGTCCGTCGCTCACGCCGCTCTCGGTGTGCTCGCCGTTCAGCTCGATGCTGCCGTCGCTGCCTTGGCGCTTCAGGATTATCCTGTGCCGCTCGCCGTCGTCGACTCGCTGAGTAGTAACGCGAATCACGGCGGGCCCGGAGCCCAAGTTGTACTGATACTCCACGTACCTGAATAACAATACAACGTCTTGTTGTTAATATTCGACGACTCGAATCGCGATAATCTGAAAGTCGAGCAGCGAATGTGCTCGTGTTTGCAGCTTCGGAAGTCGAATGTCCTTCTCATGTCCAAATTGACGATATCGTTTTTGATTTTCATCACTCATTCTATCGGGTTGTTCGGGGGATAACTTCATAGGGATTCCTGTGAATAGTTCTCACAAAGTCGATACCTTTTTTAGTTTTTTAGTTATAATTCTGTTCAATAATGTATTATCACTGTTTCTCGATGGTAGAAGAAAACGAGAAAATTAAGCTACTTAGGAGATTTACTTTCTCAAACGTCTACGTGCATTCTTTGCAGTATCGAAAACTCTCTTTGGTATCTATTTTTCCTTTATTGCGGCTACTTATTCTCTTGTATTTGATACTCTAGTATCTCTTACCCATCCACTACGGCAACGGCGATGTAATCATCGGGTGTTAGATCGTTTGGTGTTTGGCCGTGCCACATAATAAGGCCGTTGCTCTTGTTGGTGCTGATTTCGAGGCCCAACACCTCGTTTCGTTCTTCTTCGTGCGTCATGACAGATCTGTCCAGTTCCAACCAGCCGTCTCCCCTGAACGCGACGTCGTATGTAATTTCCGCCACTGCGAAATCGAGAATAATCACTAAATAGTATATAATTTTCTATATACTTTACAATTACATGTATAATTTTACATAATTACATGCACGGAAGAGAAAGGTTTGTCGAGTTAAAAAAAAGAAAAACGCGTTTGGCTCGCTTTAAAGTTCGATCCCCGTGTATAATTATTCCTTCTCGGAATGTTTGCCCGAGCATCGTATTTTTCACGCGACACATTCAACATGCACGCGTAACTAACTACGATTTAATTGAACGACAGCGCACTTACGCTTTTCGCAGTTTTGCCCGTTGTAACCGAGGCGACAGTCGCACTTGTAAGATCCGTGAAGATTAGTGCAGGTACCGCCGTTTCTACACGGTGTGAGCAGTTCGCACTGTTTCAGCACGTTCTCGCAATTTCTTCCCACGTATCCGTACTCGCACGTGCACGAGTAGTCGTACGCGTTTGAACTTTGACACACGCCGTGGACACAAGGGTTCGACGAGCAGGGATTGTACGGTGTCGTTGGTGGTTGCGTGGACGCCGGGGTGGTGACGGTAGTCTGGAAGACTGTTTGATTCGGGTGGGTCGTCGAGCAGTCCTCGATATTGGCCGAGTCAATCGCCGACCTGAGTATGTCTACATTGTTCGACGAGACTTCGAGCTGTCGTAACAGAAGTGAATTAAAAAATTAAAAATGAGAAATCTCGATGAAAATGAAATGGCATTGTTATTAATTATTGCTATATAATTCGAAGTTTATGCAGGACTCACGCCATCTAATTACATCCGTTCCCGTTTTGTTTCCCGTTTTAACGGAAATTTAGCTCGAATTTAATTAAGTACTGAAACACCGGAAATTAGAAAGACGCGGTGTATGATTCCAATCCTTTGCCTCACTTTCGCCAACGAAACGGAACTTGCATTTCTCTCAGAAACGTAAATCACTTGTAAATTTTTCTACGGATTAATTATTTGAGAATAATAAGTTTCGAGCTCATGAAACATTTTGTACTTCTCGCTGTTGTATGACTGAGATAATTTTCTTACCTCGCTTATACATCCGCGGAAGCTCCAGTCGACGCCGGCTTTCTTGTTGACCACGATTTTCCTGCGATCTACCCCTCCGATGTAGAGGGGAGTGTTTAAGGTCATAGTTCTCGAAGCTCCGGGCGCTTTGCCCTCCACAAACGGCTCGCCGTTCACCGATAATTTCGCTTCCTTGAAATCACGGTTCACCGTTACGTACGTCCACACTCCGGGCTGGATCGTGTAGGGTGACCTTATCACCGCCTCTCCGGAGCCGATGTCGAAGCGGAACTCGACGTGCTGGTCCCTTATCACTAGCGCTGCAAAATCTCCAAGGCCTTCGTCACTTTGAGAACAATACATCAAGATCCCGTCGCCGGTGTCCGTAGGGTTAAAACTCATGGCTACCTTAAGCCTAGAATTAGGCATAGAAAAGACGAGGATTATCGCACACATTCGCTAAGGCCGTTGTGTAGGTGCAGGTGTTAATTACTCTCTCGTTTGTTTAGTACAGAACTCAACGCGACTCGCACACACAGCTTCATTTTAGCGTCGTCCTATATATGTTACGCGAAACATTTGCGCTTTATTTCTCTCGCAAAGAAAGAGTAATTAAATTCAATTTTTCACACAAAATGTGTTAAGTCTGTTACGATTCGCGCGCAGAAAGTACACGGGAATAATACGTATACACACAAGTGGATGATGACGTCGTTTCAAAGAAAATTCATAATATAAACGAGGAGGAGGGGTTTACACACGCACAAGCATACATATATATGTATATAAAGTACAGAAAAATATAAAAAGCTTGTATATAAGCAACACACTATCGAGATAGGAGTGCATTACACGCATAATGTTCCTGTTTCAAAACTTACCTTGTCGCAACCTTTTTTTAGCGTTTTACGGCACGTTAGGTGATGACCGAATGATACGTTAACTTAGATTATTAGAGTTCACGGCATATTACATCAGATTTGGTTTATTTGCTTGAAAAATATTTATTCATACGTATAGCGTGAGTTCGCTGAGTATATAAACGATCATTCGTACGTGAGACATCTTGCGCGTTTTATCTTTTTTTTTTTTTAACATTTATATATATATATATATATTTATATATATGTGTGGGTTCTTATTGACATAAGTACAAACATTTTACATGCTGTCATATATAACTGTCATATACACGCGTACGATACTACGTCTTTGACGTTTTTCTAAGCTTGAGTGGGGCTACTGTTAAATGCAACTGATTTGGCAGTGACTTCACGTATTAATCTTTAACAATTAATAAATGACTAAAGTGACGCGTTAAGTGTATTAATTAAGAAGCTGTACAAAACATTAATCACTAATTCGTAAATTGACTGATGTTCTATAACATTACAGCACCATGACAAGTCCGTTATGAGGAACTACGCACTACGCAGGCTCGTTGCGACAGACATCTGTTAAGAACTTATTGTTTCCGTTTTACATAGCCACTACGCATACCAGATTTTTGGGTGTCCCAAAAAAAAAGTGGAAGAAATAAAAGGAGGCAGTGAGAAATCGTGTAAAAAAAAAAAAAGAGCAAAAAACAAGTCGAACTCTGATCAATTCTTCCCGTATAGAGGCGTATAGATTGTATCTTGAAAAACATTTTAAATAGCTCATGGACAGGTTTATTAGATCTACAGAGAGAATTTTATCATTATTATCATTATTATCATTATTATCATTATTATTATTATTATTATTATTTTTTTTTTTTTCTTTACTGTGATTGGAGAGATAAGTAATGATTCTCTAAGTGCGTAAAATTGGTGCTAAGTCTAGCTAATGTTTTGTGTGGTGCAAATTATTGTGGTGATGTGGCCTTGATCGTGGTTTCCTAACTTGTGCGTTGCGTAATCGTGATCGACTGTGTGTAGTGGTCGAACTCTCTCTTTCCCTGAAAAGAATTTTAGTGATTAGGATGCTTGAGGATGTTTAGGCGCATCGGAGTTAAATACCTATACTCCTGATTATCGGCAAATCTGTTAATCCGTCAAAGGCGTGAACGTTCTTTTACAGGGAGTCGCGCCCTGTCTCTCTTTCTCTTTATACAGTCCCGCGCAGACAGGAGAGGAGACTCTTCTTCCCCCGTGTCTCGGAAGTCACGGAGGGAAGTGCGCGACGGAGTATCGTTCGTCATTTTCAAGTGTGTAATTGTCGAGTTCGAGAATCGAGACACCTCCAATGCGCAGTGAACTTTACTCAAAGAGTCACGAGAGTGTCCCGTGAGAGAGAGAAAAAAAGAAATCTAGACCTCACGCCTGATATCCTGTGGCGTTTCTTCGACCCGTTTACTTTACCCGTTCCTCGTACATTGTGTATGCGCGCGCGTGACATGTGCAAATTATATTTAAGGGAACTCAGAGTGTAACGAGTGCATGGATACAATCTCTCGTGTACGTGTGACATCTATTGAGAGCGATTCTTCGGGAGTAATGCGTGCGCGTGCGTTCGATCGATCAATCGAGCGAGCGGGCGAGCAAGCGAGAGACTGTGTACTCACCGTCTAAGAGCCTTCGGGGTATCGTGCGCGAGGAAAGCTTTCTCGTCATGGAAAGCCGGTTCGTGAACGTTCACCGAGTACTGACATCGCGGTCCTCTCTTGCCTAACGGGCAGTAACAGTCAAAGCCGGTCTCCTTGTCGACGCATTTGCCTTCTCCGCATGCACCTACGGAAATTGTCAGACACATCTGCAATATCCTGACGAATTAGCCTTTTTCTTCCATCTTCAAGTGGCTCGGCCGCTTGAAAATAGCGAAATGTTTGGATCCTTCAAGTTGCAAGTAGAACGATGATCGGTTTATCATACGTGTATTGGACACCGATGCGTGTAAATTACGCACGTTATGTCGTGACGAAGATGGGTGCATTTTTTGGAGATCACGCGTTGTACTCGCGTGAGATTGATGCAACGCGAAAGAAAAATATACAGGAAATAAGAAAATATTTGTACATTCGGCGAGTGAGAACTAAGATATAACATATTTACTTAAATCTTTTCTTTTATTTAAATTACTCTGTAAATTACTCCGTTATATTATATATGAAAAGATATACGGTGCTACGAAAATATATATTTGTTCATTTGGAAAAATTTCGCTTCTCGATGTAAAAATGTGTATACGAGTATAAGTAAATATGTTATTAATGCCGAGTAAATAATTTTTATATTTTCAGATATTTTCTCTCTTTGTGTAATAATGACTGAAATTGAATTGCAATTGAGGCAAATCGAATTAAATTGAATTGCAGAATTGCATTGAATGTTAAATCGAATTACAGTTATTGTAAATCTGAAAGAAAGATCTGGAGTCGATAAATTTTGATCGTAATCATCGCGCGGCACACGCGGATTAGAATTCAGGAACTAGGACTATTTGTCGTTACCTGGATAACAGGATTGCCCGACAAAGTCGCAGTGTTTGCCACTGAAGCCGGCTCGGCACAGGCACGTGTAACCGTTCTTCGTCGATGCTTCTTGGCACACTCCGCCGTTGTTGCAGGGATTCTCAGCGCAGGTCTCGCAATTCGTGATTCCCACGCTGTCGGTCTGATCGCCGATCAGATCGATTTGCTTCTCGCCGAGAACCAGTCTGCTTATGCAGCCGACGAAGCCGGAGTTAATTTCAACCTCCTTGTTGATTCTGTTGTAACTGGGTACTCCGCCGACGTAAAGGGGCTCCTTCAGGTCCAGACCCTGACGCCTGCCCACCGCGACCACCTTGTACGGGCCTTCGCCGTCTACCAGCATCGTTCCCTCCTTTCGATTGCGTTGGATCTTGATAGTGTGCCACTCGCTCAGAGCGACCGGCCTGTCCGCGCGGACAACGGCTGGTCCGGAGCCGAGATTGAATCTGTCGGGGTGTTTGATGTTGTTAATGCGTGTGGGCATATAAAGCTTGAAATTGTGAAAAATACAATGTGTTGTTACACAGATACAATTAAAGTAGCAACTTTACGCTTAATCGAATGATGACTTTTCTTTTCTTCTTTTTTTCATTCAACAGCATTTCTTCTTGTGGGCGTATAATTAAAAATTATTTTATATAATTTTCTTTTCCCGGCTATTTCTCGATCACACGTAATTATGCGATTGGATCAGCATTTGGTAAAATTAATACTCGAATAGATGACGCGTATTTGTCGGAGAATTGAAATCAATCAGTCCGCGACTTTTGCGCGTTCCATGAGCTTTTCGACTCACTTGAATTGCGGGTATCCGTTAATCAGGGACAAGACGATGAAGTCGCCGCTCTCGTTGCCGGATTCGTCGTTGTACAGGAGGATACCCTCGCTACTCTCCGGCTTGAAAGAGACCTCGATGTTGAACTTGAGATAGGAATCAGGTAGAGGCGGCAAGGCGACGTAGCTCTCGGGCGCTTGATTGAAATTAGGCACGACTCCGGTCACTACCAGCACCGTGGGCACTTCGATATTCGTGTGTCCGTTATTCGCCAGGCAGATGTATGTCCCAGCATCCTCGGCCTTCACGTTAGTCAGCTTCAATTTGTTCTGCGCAATGAAAAGACGTGTATTTAGCATGGGCACTTTTCCAGCGTATCTTCGGGACGTACCTCGCACGGAGGAAAGAAGATTGCTGGAATTGGCGCGATGATAAACGAACTAAACGCATTTCGGCCGAGGGTAACGGAATTTCTCGTTCTTATAAATTAAATTCTGTCCCCGTCATGTTAAGACGCCCTTGATTCGCGTTCATACTGTCACGTTAATGTTCGATCGATTTTTATTTTCTCTCTGCGCTATGTGAAGCTCAGATATTTTTATTATCGGCTATGATATCCTCTCGAGATATTCTCTCGAGATTCTCTCGTAGTAGCGGCTCTTGATATAGTACAGAGATATTTCGCTCACCTCTAAAGTCTGGGTATTTCGCGGTAAAAGTCCACCGAGTTTATTCCACTGGAATTGTATCGGCGGGTCGAGGTCGATGCGACAGTCCATCTCGAGACTCGAGCCATACGGCGCGAATTTGGTCTCAATCGCTGGTTCATCGTTGTTCCCGCCTGAATAATAACGGGGAATTGCACGAGTGAAAAATCTGTCAATCGCGCTCGTCTTCACGCGACGTTAGTTATTTTTCCGTCACTTTACGTATACTTACGTAAAACACACACGATTCGCGCAAGCATTGACAGAAAATTAGATATTTGCGTATTAGCGTACGTATAGATGTACGTAACAGATAACAGATTAAATACTTCATTGTTATTATTATTCGTTTGCTGAATATGAATTGATTAAATCGCATCGATATCCTCTATGATGAAAATCAAGTATAAAAAGTGCTATTTAAATATAATTTTAAAAAGTACGCTTTATTAAAAAAAATCTAGATAAAAGGAATCAACATGAGGTGATCTGTGCTGATTCAACTATTTTCGAAAGAGAATCCAAAGCCAGCATTCTGAACTCTCTCTTATCTATATAAAAATGGCTTATAAGCTTTCTGCTACAAGCCAATCTCCTTTAGAGTCGCAAGTCTCTGCCTCAGGCTTCTCCGTTTTTTTTATACAAATCTTTCTTTCAGAGCAGTTGTGTCTACGGACGCTTACCATGGACGATTAGATTCAAGTCCTTTTCGAATGTACCCTCCGGCGTGTCCACGACGCACCTGTAGGGTCCGCTATCGTCGACAGCCACGTTAGTTAGTCTCAGAACGTTGCCGTATATTTGCGCGTTGGTCGGCAGGCGCGTATGATTCGGCCTCGACCAGTGATAGCGTGGATTGCGCGTTCCAGTGCAAGTGCAGTGTATATCGACTGTATCGCCGATGTTGATCGGGTCTTGAGACACCTCGACGCTTACTAACGGCGAGGCGACAGCTAGAAATCGAATGTTTCGTGTCAGTCGCGCGCTATGACGGTACTTGTCGAATTAGCGAAGGAAAATGTATGTCCTATTATGCGCGCACGGATCGCGCCACGCCAACATCGCGTGTGCATTAGGGACAAGAGATGCTGAGACAGTTTCTACCGATTTTCACAGAATGAATCGCGGGGGAATTGCTTCCATACGTACGTCGCACTCGCATCTTCACGCGATGCTACTTAGATTATTTAGATACACTCGAGATTCCGAAAGTAACAAAACCGAACGAATATATGAGGTTGCGGAGATCTTGCGTAAAGTTCATATTTGCTGGCAATATTAGCACGTGAAAGTTGCAAAGAGAATACTATACTCTGGAGCTACTCTGGAATTACATTTCAGCGAGAAGTATTCGGAACACATGCGCAGAGAACGGTGTCGGATTTGCAAAGACATTAAACGACGTCTGAAGAAGATGTATAGGTGTTCATTTTTGTCGAATATCTTACGCTAACAAGAATGGGATACGTATTTTGTGGACAATATTAGCATTGTTTATAAAAATATAGCCTTCTAGCAAATATTTTTACGAAATTACAATCTCCGAGATTTAAGAGAAATGTAAAAAAATGTGAAGATCTTTATAACACAAATAAGAATTTATAAAATTCCTAATACGAAAGAGATTATTTATTATTATTTAAATATACATATTATATTAAATAAATAATAATTCTCCAATAAGAATAAGATATACGGAGATTTCTCTAAGAAGAAAGATACTTCTATTTGGGGAAATGCGCAAAACTTCAGCATCTTCTCAGCCAAAAATGACTAACTGTCTAACGAAACACATTTCGTCGCGACTTTAAGCATTTCTGGCTGGGTTAGCTGGGTTTCACCGCTCCTCATCATCTGGTTTTTTATTTATCTTGTCTCACATTCGAGTTTTAACTCTCCGCTCGTATCCCTTCCTTGGTAGGCTCATACAAAAAAATAAAGCGAAAATATAAAGGACAGTTTACTACAAGTAGAGACACTACGGGACGTCACACGACACATATATCTCAAAACAAACCGCGTCGTCTCTGAAGAAATTGGCGGTATCGCAAGTTGCGGCAGAAGCGTTCGTCAGTACCGTCGCTGCACTGAACATAGCCGTCGCAAAAGTATTCCTTCGGAATGCATTGTAGGCTTCTGCATTCATACTCCCAGTGCCTGCACTGCGATCGGTACACTGGCATGCAATCCGCAAGCAAATTAACTACTAAATCATAACGCGAGCTTTGTAAAAGAGACCTAAATTTGTAAAGACTTTTGTGGAGCCACGTTCGCTGTGATCTCGTTATTAACTGCCTGGACAACGCAAACGTCCGGACAACATGCGGCCCGAAGGAAGGGCCGTCTTCCTGACGTTATATTTTCACATTTGCGTTGTACGGCGTTGTAATCCGTTGACGCGCGATAGTTAGTGATGTGACAAGCCAAGTGACGCGTTAGATTAGTGTAAATCAAGTAGGAAGTTCAAGGTCCAAGGTAAATAAAGTGATTGCGTTTTTAGCGTTGCACGTACTCTTACTCATCTGTCTCGGCCGAGACACCGATCGGTAATAGAATTTCGTGGCAATTTTCCTTGCTGTTTTCTCTCATTTCTTCTTTTGTTCTAAGCGTGGGTTTAACGCGGCACGAGTCGGTTGCGCTCCAAAGCGGCGAGTCATGTCACCTTCGGGTTGTTGTGTGATCTAAAGTTTAGATCGGCAAAGTCGCGGGGGAACGGCGCAAACAAAATATCTCGTGAAGAAGCAGAGTTCGTGGCTGAACTCCCTCGGGATCACGAAGTACTCGGAGCCACTCGTGGCACTGTCTCTCACGTGGACCGCCGGTATCCCGAAAGAGTTAAGCGCGAGATCAGGACTTCGTAACAGGCGTAAACATCGTGAATTCAGCGTGAAATGTACGTGTCGCAATCTTCAGTGGGATGCATTCTGATAAGCGAGGTCTAATGAGATGATGCGCAGAAACGAAGAGCGGGAAACGTGGCGCAACTTACGCGAGACGTTGAAATTAATATAATCGCTCGATACGCCGCGGCTGGTTTGCGCCTGGCAGATGTATCGTCCGCTGTCTTCGGGCTTCACCTGCATCAGCTCCAGGTAGTCCTCCCCGATTCGCGCGGTGATCGGCAGGGCCTGTCCGTCGCGGCTCCAGTGGATCGTCGCGCGTTCTCGCACGTCGCAACGTAAACGCACCGAGCTGCCGGCGTACGTCGTCACGTCTCTGTGTTCCGCGCGAATCCTCGTGTCGTCGTAAGAATGCTCTGCGAATTAAGCGACAAGTCGCTTTACAACTCGAGCTTTCTTTCCCGAGCGGTTCTTTAATACCCAACCCGAGTGTGTTAAGCGGTGTTAAAAAATTGACTTTGATTCAAGTCAGGACGCTATTTCTTGCGGCCAACGATTGTCTTGCGGCAGCCGAAAATAATCCGTCTTCAGCGATCGTTTAGTTTAGTGAAGCGCTCCGCACTTGAAAAGTTAGTTCCGACGCTGTAAACGTCGAATAGTCTAACTGGGGCGTCGTCTACTAACCGTTGACTGAAACTTCAGCCACCGCTTCCGCCGTTCCCGCTCCGTTCGTTGCTTTGCACACGTATTTGCCGGCGTCGGAGTAGGTAATACCGTGGAACTGCAGGACACCGTTGTGGTGCGTTACCGAGTACGGTAACGGTCGTCCTATGGCCTCCCACTCGATACGCAGAGGCTCATCGCCCGTGGCGGTGCAAACGATGGACGGGTTCTCGCCGGGTCCCACTGTCTGACGCGTGGGATTTAGTTCAATCCTCGGTGGAGCTGGAAGAGGTGAAAGAGTCGAACGGAATAGAGGTGGTAACGCTCCAAAGTACACATTAGAAAACACATTAATGTTCCATCAGTGATCTTCCAGCTCTCGCTGGCACGCGTTACTCACATATAATTTCGAGATGAGACTTTGCTCTGAAGAGCACCGCGCCAGCAGGATCCAAGCCCAGGCAGATGTATTCTCCAGCTGCGGTCCTGTCGACGGTCGGGATGCTCAGTACTCCGTTGTGTACGGTGCTACCTTCCGGCAAGGAGCGGTGATCGCTTCTCTTCCAGTCCAAGTAGATGTGGTCTCCGTCGGGCCCGAACACCTGGCAACGCATCTCCACTTTGCCGCCGTTCGGGATTCTCAGGTAGTCTTCGGGAATTAAGACTCCTTGTTGGTTCGGGTCTCTCTGTAAATCGCGTTTCTCGATGAGGTTGCGCCATCGAAGGTTGAGATAGTCGAAGGAAATTCAGTCGAAGGAATACACACGTGATCAGGGCGAGGTTGTCGGTCGTCGGGAGGACACGGAATGTCGCCTCTGTCGCCGGTACAGGGTTGGTTGTCCACGTCGTTGTCGTCCTCGATGCGAATCTGAATGCGTTCTTCGGCAATTCCCACGGCGTTCGTGGCTTGGCAGGTGTAGGACCCTTCGTCGTCGGGTGACACGGAGAATATCTCGTACACGGCGCTCAACGGGGTGGCCGCTGTTCTGCTGTATGTGTCACTGTAAATCACACGACAGGGTCGTTCGGTCATTGAAATCATATACTGAGTGTTTGAAATAAAAGAATACACCTGGATAAAATTCGTAAATAGCAGATGTTAAAAAATAATTGTTTAGGTTAGTCGCACTAGCGATCGGGACTATTCTTTCATACAAGTCGTCTTGATGAAAATGGCACACAAGAATTTTCAGCGGATCATTTCTTCGCTTTTCACATCACAATCAAGTTCACGTGAAGAAAGTACCAGGAGTCTTAATTAAAAATATCGAGAGGTCAACTCACTACACGGTCATGCCGTTCACGTGCTTGCTCCAAGCTACGTTGGGCTGCGGGTGTCCGCTCGCACTGCACATCAGACGGACCCGACCTCCGCGTTTCACCTGCAGAATGCCGTGTCTCGGGGTGATAGTGATCACAGGCATGGACTGCACCTCGATGTGCGCGATCACCGACGTCGAGCCGACTTCGTTCGACGCGGCGCAAATGTAGGCGCCGCCGTCGTTCGCCGTGATGTTCGACAGTCTGAGCAGTCCGCCAGGGAGTTGTTCGATATTGGAGGCGAACGGCCGGCTGTCTTGGCGAGACCAGTGCAGCTCGGGCACTGGGAACCCGGCCTTCGCGCGACATTGAAGATCGGCGGAGCCGCCGAGGATGACGGTTTGGACGTCTTGAGGGTACAGCTCCAGGACCGGGGCTTCGCGGGCTGTAACATTAACGAATAATCGTTTGTGCTATATTTCACAATGAATGATGTTTCAGTTAATATTCAGAAATTATCGATAGGGATGCTATTTTCAAGGACAAGTAGAAGGCATGCGGCATTCTTGACTATCGCGACACTTCGCGCGATTTTTCTTCCATCGGTGCCATCTTCTGAAGGTCTTCCGAAGGACTATCTTAAAAATTACTTGAGTTTTTGCGGACATTTGTGTGCCCTGTAATTCGCGTTATACTATATACATAGCGCTATTTTTCTACGACAATATCTAGATACGCTAAAGAGAAATATCAAAAATTTACTCGAGGAATAGCGCCGTGTAGATAAATAATAGGTGTGAATTCCGCGACGCCTTATATATAATATATAATTTTTCCCCTAAGGGGAGCTATTGTGAACTTACGCGCAACTTCGATGATGGCACTGGCTTCGTAACTGCCCGCGGCGCTGCTAACTCGGCAGATGTATACTCCCCGATCAGAGACCTGAGCGTTCACGATCCTCAGCGTGTCGTCCACTTGCTGCACGCGCGGGCTCATCGTTTCCGTGTACTTGCTCCATTTCACGTGTACTCCTGACTCTCCGCTGGTGATGCATCGCACCTCGGCCACCGTGCCCTGAGACACAACCTGTCGTTCGGGTTTCACCTTGATTGTCGGAGGATCTCTACGAGGTACTATCACTATCTTGGCGGTGGTGCTCGTTTCCGTCCCGCGGAGGTCCGTCGATGTGCACACGTAGATGCCGGAATCGCTTGGGTTGGGGTTGACGATGGTCAAGATTCCGTCACGTTGACTAGCGGAACTGGGCAACGGGAGTCCGCCGGATCTTGTCCAGGTGATGTTCGCACGCTGAGACGGCGTGCAGATCAGTCTCACAGCGTCCCCGCTGGTCCCGGACCACTCGGACGGAGTTACCGTCGGCGGTAGAGTTTGGAGCGGTGGCTTGTCGGGGTTGTCTGTAATACGAAGTGTGTACAAGTCGTATTCATAGCTGTTGTTCGAATTAGGATTTGTTCTTTTTCGTGTGTTAAACAACAATTATGACATGTGATTTTTGTGCGAAGCGTCTTGATGTTTGGCAATGTCTGACAAACACGCCGATATTTCGGTCGTACCTTGAACGTACAAAACGGTCGTCTTCTCGTCCGTGCCGACGTTGTTCCTCGCGATGCACTTGTACTCGGCTGCGTCGCTCTTCGACGCGGCCGGTAGGCTCCAGACGCCGTTGTAGAAAGTCGCCTCCGGGCTCATGGTGCCGTGAACTCGCACCCAGTCCAGTTGCGGCGGTGGATTACCTGTAGCCTCGCAGCGGAACTCCACCGGTCTGCCTTCTTGCACTTGCTGATAGTGCGGAGTTATCACAGCCGTGGGTGCTACCGGATTGGCCCCTTAAATAACGTGAACACGGAGTTATGATTTGTTTCACCCACGCGGCTCGCGACGCGGTTATGATTTGTACCTGGTATCTCCAGCAGGTATTTCGGGAAGGCTGCGTTAACAATGCGTAAATAATTAAAAAGGGACAGGTTTATCCGTATACTTTTCAACTTATTTCTTTGCAACTTACGGTAGCACTCAAATAATATCACACGGAAAAAAATGTTCGGTCAAACGAACCAATTTTCCGGTGAAATGTGAACGATTCAGAAATTCCGATTGAAGAGACTTTTAGAATTTTGTTTGGATTATCCAGAAATATCTTGATAATTTAGATTAAATTCTGCTAATTTCAGTCAGAATTTCTGTATTGTTCATATTTCATCAGAAAGTTGGCTCACTCGACCAGACATTTTTCTCAGATTGATCAAGAAAGTATTTTTCGCTGAAGATCATCATTACTCAAAGGAAAGAAAATAGACCGAGTTGACAGTTAGAATGACATTTTTCTTTCTTTTCGAGAACACGCGATGAAACGACAATCATCTTATATATAGCACTTATAGGCCAGGTATATGTATCATATGTTCATTTGGCATGTAGTATAAATTCAATTAATCATGTTTGTACTGTACCTCCGACAGTCAGGGTGACTTTCTTGATCGCGATATTTATTCCATCGCTCACTTGACAGACGTATATGCCGCTGTCAGACACTTTCACGTCCCTAATGACCAACAGTCCGTTTGCATCGTCGACGCTCCTTCCGGGTGGCAATTGGCCGCCTTCTTTCTCCCATCTGATGCGCACCAATTCCTATTTACAATGACAGCAAACGAAAGTATAACGAATGATAAAATCACATCTATTAGGGGCATCATATAACATAAAATAGACTTGGGAAGCTTACGCTATCTTGAGATCTGCCGGTGCAATGATATCTGACGATGTTTCCTGTCTGAACGATCTGGAATTCCGGTTCCTGCACGTAAACTATGATCCTCGCCGGAGGTATCGGGCCTGGTGTGGTAGTCGACGTTTCTCCAACTACGAGGGAAACGGCAGTTGGCAAAGTTTGGTTTGTAAAGCGAGTAGAATATTCTCGTGTGCTCTGACCGCAGCGGACGGTACGATTAGGACGTGATGAGAGATCGTACACGAAGACGACAGATGGATTTTGTTGGATTCTACGATACGATAAGAGCATCATGGACGATACTTTCCTCGGGGAAATCACAATCACCTTCACATTGGACGACACATCATGACAATGATGATTATGCCAGAAACAATTACTAATTTACGGATTAATTACCATGGGATACATATCTCGGTGTAAATCGGTGTGCGCAGGACACCCTATGGACATGGAGTACCACGCACCAAGAGAAAGCCAAGCCTTCCCGTCGATAAATGCCGATTCTGAGAGAAACTACAAGACTACAAAAAACTACACAACGAGGACCGTGACCCAAGGAGGACGTACTTCCTTCACCAGGCTTGTTCTAACGATGACCTAATGTTAACGTGACGACAAGACGACAGACAGAGTTCTCCCTCGCCATGAGTCACCGATGGACGGACAAGAAGAAGCTCTCTCGCTATGGCGGTTCGTCAAACCTGGCGTAGCCGATGTCACGATCTTGACCAACTCTCTTGATTCTTTGTCGTGGTGCCACTTCATGATGTGGCACTCCACGTTGCAAGCGGTGCGCTCCACGTGGACGAACCAGGTGCGGAAAGCCCCCTTCTCCGTCTTCATTATGGGACCGGGTTGTTCGCTCCACGCAGTAATGGGGAGTTCGTCAAGCGACGACAATTTAAAATAGATGTGAAAGTCGTCTGGGAAGTCATAGTTGCACGTAAATTGGATCGTGGACTGCGTCTTGACCTCGACGTTCATGGGCATTAAGCTTACCATCAGCTCACCTGACCAACGTGTCATTGCCGATTATTGTCTCTAGATAGGCTCGAAACTTTTCTTTACTACGAGATAAAGGCAATCCTGGAAGGATCTCGCTTGTGCTCACGGGAACGTGTTCCAACTTGTTGAGGTGTATGTTACAGAGGATGATTCACGAGGCTCGACCATTTGAATTATTTCGCTTGCTGACGAAGCGATGAAATCTGTCTAACGTCTCGGCTAACCCGATCCCCGGAGGAATCGAGTTGAGGATGAGCGTGAAACACGCTGTTTATCGCTATTTATCGCGATCTCGCGAAGACCCTCCTCGTCTTTTCGAGCAGAAATAATTCCGAGCGATCGAGTTTCGCGTTTGGCTTTACACATAACACGTGAAACGTGACACGCGTTATTCCTTACCCATCTCTTGGCAGTATAGTCCTGTGTAGCCCGGCAAGCAGTGACACTTGACCTGACCGGATCTGCTGATCTCGCAGCTCTCCTCGTTCTTGTTGCACGGGCAAGGATTGCAAGCGCCCAGGTAACTGACGGATCGGTCGTTGGTGTCCCTGTAGTAACCGCGCGCGCAGGTCTCGCAGGAGCTTCCTAAGTAGCCAGTCGGGCAACGGCAGGCTTCGATCTGGGTCGCTCGTCGGTTTCCAGTGAGATTCTCCACGGCTGTGTCCATGCTGATGTCACTGATGTATGTCGCGGTCATTCGCTCGCTGTGAGACGCGCGGACCAAAATAGCCTCCAAATTGGACAGCACGATCATGAGGTCCGTTCTTGAAGCGCTACGCGGTCCTTCGGTCGTCAGGCGCCTCCACTCGTTTTCTTTCAGCGGGACAGTGTAGGTCTGCGAAGGGAATAGATATGTATTAGCTGTTGTACTCTTTGCTCTAGACATCGGGCTCTTCAAGTATTCGCGAAATTAGAGATTATTTAGCAATTATTTTCTACGTTGAGACAGCAGAAATACCTGAAAAATAAGGCAAACTTATTCAGTGGGTGTTGATAACATATTTATTTAAATTGGAATTTTTTTTATTTTAGTAGAATAAACAATTGCTTTCATGAAAAGCTGAGTAGCATAAAAAGATGCAAATGTTTTCGTTTGAAGAACATTTTTCTCGGTGTAAAAATATTTTATTAATATAAACGGTTTATTAATATAAATAAATATGTCACTAATACCCATCGAGTATATTTGTTTTGCTTTTTAAATATTTCTCTCTCAATGTACGTACCATCGGGATGTCGGGTTGGATCTCTGTCGGATTCGTCCAGAACAACGTGATGCCGTTGCCGATTAGCAGAATGTCTTGGTCCTTGTAACTCTTAGCTTCAGGGTACGCGGTGATATGCTGCGTCAGGGTGAGGTTTCCGCCGTAACTCTTCACTTTGTTGCCCGTGAAGACGCTCGGCAACGACCAGAAGAGTCTGCGGTTTCTGCTGTCCGGATAACGATAGCCGATCTCGTTCATTGCCACGTTCAACTCGAAGCCGTCTGCGATCACGTCACGTCGGGTTCTGAGTGGAAAAAGAAAATTCGTGTCAGATTCAGAGTTTTTCAGTTTTGCCCGTTTTATGAATTTGTGACTTCACGACATCAAAAAATAAACCAACATAAGCACATACATATATGCGATTCTCGTACTACTTATGCTTATATTGATTTTTATATCGAAATTCGAAAATTACTAAAATTAGTTTTAATAAAATATTTACGACAATGGTAAGTTAGAAAAATTGGAAGTCAAACGCGTCGAACGCGAGCGTTACGATTCATTGCAAACTTCCCAAGGTAAAAATGGCAAAACATGTTTCAGTCTATCGCATCAGAGACCCTCTTCAGTTAATTCAGATGTTAACAAGGATTCGTCGAGTTTTTGTAAATATTTAATCTAATTGAAGAAGGCTTACATCAGGCCGAGGCGTTTATTAAGATTCGATTTTGAAGGAATCTTTGAAAAAATGACGACGCTTGCCTAACAATGTTCGGCTTCCCCGGTGTCAAGTTTGTTTGTTTTTTTTTTCCAAGCCAGATTTCTCTTCTCTCATAATAAAAAGGATCAAAGGACGTTATTTTGCAAGGGCGCGTGTACACTTACGAGTCCGTGAGAGTGAAGCCGTGACGCGAGTCGTACACCCACATCGGTATTTGCTGTATATACAACGTGCTCTCGTGACATTGATCAGTTACCCCGCTGCAGTAACACTCGATGCATCCATCAATATTCTCAGCACGTAATCCATATGTCGACGGGCGGCACCGATTGCATTCCGGGCCCTCGACGTTCCTTTTGCACTCGCATCGGCCGTCGACGCACGATCTGCTGCGCGAGCCGGCCTCGTTGCATCTGCATCCCGGCTGGGATGTCTGGCTCGTGCAATCACTCGGGGTGCCTCGAGTGGCGTCTCCTTCGTATCCCGGCTCGCATACCTCGCAGGACTCGCCGGTGGTATGATGCGCGCAGTTCTGTCAACATGAAACATTCCGCTTTCATACGCTTCAACCAAACCGTCTCACACGCGTCTTATCTTTGTACTTTACAACATGAAAAGATTATGTTGCACTCTCCTTCAATGACGATTTGATCAAGGTGTTGTTTTTGTTTTATTAGTTATATTTGTGCACGCGAAATATATAGAATGGAGCGGAGTCTTGAAAAAGTCTTCAAATTTGGTGGAAAAAAATAATGGAAATCTTGACGATACTTTATAAGATCTTTTTACAACGATATTTCATAGAATTTTGTATGATTTCATAAAATTTTCAAGATAATACCGAAATTAGCAGGATTCTCCGATTTAACCTTTCTTTAACCGTGTTTGAGTTTTTTTTCGGTCTGAGTGTCCTTGAAATATTCCAGATACCAGTCAACGCTACTGTTCTCGCAGCATTCACTAATTACTGTGTATTGGAAATGTCAAAATATTAAAGATGAAAGTCATCAGATCTATACTGACAATATACGTACTTTAATATCACGAGAAATTTCGAAGGATCTTCGGGTTGTGTGGAAAAAAATCCGAATATACAGTGAGATGACCGAGATATTTTGTGTTGAAATTGTGTTGAAATTGCTAGTCGAGCTCGTTTTCGTCGCTTACCTCGCAAGTGCCAGTCTCAGGGTCGCATTGATTCGAATGACCGTTGCATTGGCACGGCTCGCAGATGCCCAAGTAGAGGCCTTCGAAGGCCCGCGTGTAACCAACGTCGCAATCTTCGCATGAAAGTCCTCTGTAGCCGGCGGGACAAGTGCACTCCTCGACTTCGACCGCGCGCTCCTTACCCGTGTTGTATTTCTCGGCGGTGTCCAACGAAACGAAGGAAAGCCTGAGAAAGTACCAGTTTGGCCAGTACCAATAAATTTGTACATTCGCTTCTCGAATTTTTCGCGCGTTTCTGAGAAATTTGCGAGACGCGTGCATATCGCGTCAATTTTATTTATTTAATGCTTCTTTCGGCAATGTGTCCAAAGATACGAAGAGAAACCTTAGACAAATATACGTTGTGCCTTGATTAGCAATTTTGGTTTCTGATGCGAATGGATTTTTTCGAGAAGTTTGAGAGGCAAACATGCCGGTATCTCGCGTCAATGTTCTTCATCAAAGGCAACTGCTAAAAATGCTGCGAGTTCAATGTACAGTGCAATCGGCGATATATACAAAGTACTTACGCGGCCTCGTCGGTGTGCGTCGTGTAAGTGGCTTTGATTCTGATAGCTCGTACGTCCGCCAAGGCCATCAGAAGATGTTCCCTGTCCGCTTGCGTTCCGTCGTTGCGTTGCCAATATTGCTCGAGCAACGGCACGGTGAACGATTGCTGGAAGTTGGGCTCGGGGGACTCGCGGGAGTAGTAGAGCAAGTTGATGTCGTTAGCCTGTGTATGCACACAGTCGCGTTATTACATCTTTATCGCCAAGCAGAACGATCATGACTCGCGAATTTGCACTCACGCTGATGAGTTCAACGTCCGCGGCGTTGTTCCTTGAACTCTGACCGCCCGGTGAAGGCACGTATCGGACGGTGTATTTGAGGTTGCCGCCGTAAGATGTGATTTGATCGCCCAAGAAAATGCTGGGCAACTGCCAGTAGTAGACGTCGTTATTGCCTCGATTGGGAAAATCGCTGTAAGTGATTTCCCGGCTGATGGTGTCCAAACGAATACCATCGATGATCGCTGGTGCGTCCATGCTCTTCGACTCGATCAGGGAGAAGTCACGGAGCGAATTGGTGAACGATACACGAATCTGCAACCAGTGCCAGTGATCGATCGTAGTCCCATTTTCATATTTACGCGAGACATCTTTAGATTTAGCAAAGATCTTTAGCTGTGAGACACACGATTTTCGTGAAAAGCGCAGAATAAAGCGACCAATCGGCCGCCCGATCGTGGTAATTAGAATTTTTAAACAAAAGTTTGAGAAATACGCGATAAGAAAGTCAATAGAGAAGAAATAAAGGCGAATAAGAGCCAAAGTTTGGTCATCTGACACCAGTCCATAATAAAGTTCAAAGAAATTTCAATGCATTTACGTGTTTGATATCATAAACGTCGAAATTGAAATTTCAAACGGCAGCCTGAGAAGAAAATAAAATCTCGTTTAGGTGAAGAGATCTTGCCCTTCACATATATTATAAAAATCATCCGAGTGACAAACAAAAGCTTGGCTCTTAGCTCGTTGTTTAACAAAAGAATTATTAATGGAAAGAGTTTTATAAATAGAGCGTCGTTTTCCGACACCATGTATATTTGAGAAGCAAATATGTGATGTGTGTTATAAACAAATATTCAGCACACAACGGGGTTTACTGTACTGTACTGTACTGTACTGTTTTGATTTCTTCGATCAAACACGCTATCGATCGATCGGTGTGTACACTGCATACATTAAAAAATAGGTAGTGTAGGGAGTTTATGAAAACCCGATATGTATATGTAAAACAGTACGTAATACACACGAGGGAAGGGCGAAGCCTCAAACTAAACTGACCTTACCCAACCCGTTGTAGCAACCCTATATGAATGAGAAAGGTTGGGTTGGGTTAGTTTAGTTAGTGAGGGGTTGAACGAGGGAGAACGCAGCTCCCTGCGCAAATACATCTACTATTTTTATGTATTCATCGGATTTTTTATAAAGAACTTTTATACGTACAAAGTATCGGAAAATTATAAAAATGTCGGTATACGTTTAATTATATATGAATTGGTTTTTTGTGAAAAAGAATCGCGTAAATATTACGCAATTGAAACAATTATTTATATTTATGGCAGCCGGTGATGAAGATGGACGATTAACTGAATGAAATGGAACTATTTTTTCTTTTCCTTTTTAACAGCGTTTTTTCCCGCGTGGATACATTTAATTACATTATATATATGTGAGTATATTTAGAGATAATATTCATATATAATGTCATATTTAATGATATATCATTTATATACAATTATTTATTGTTAATATTTATTAATAATATATAATTGTATGTAAATGATGCGTAATTGTAAACAATTATATATATAATCATATCTGATTTTTATATAATTGTACATATTATTCTTTGCGCGGGGGAACTTATATTTTTTAATATATATAATATTGTGCACCTGGTTGGTTTTAGTCTTTTAAAACGAGAAACGCAGAAAATTGCGCCACCTCTTGTGTCACCTCTGGTATCAAGATGGTTTCTTTCGCGTATAATCGCGTCGAGGCTAAAGCACGTGTCACGCGGAAAATGATAAATGCGAGGTGTAATGTCTCCGGCTCACCTCGTTTCGGTACCAGTTAGACGAGATGCATCTGTTGGTGATGCCCATGCAGAAGCAAGCTATACATCCAAATTGATTTGCCGAGGCCAGATTAAAGGTATTCGCCTTACATTGGTTGCAAGTCAGACCCGTTGCGTATTCCTGAAATGCAAAACGTCGAGGAATAGACGGCGCTCCTCGACATCGCGGCATCGTGGCGTTTGTTCATCGCCGTGCGTCGATTCGCAGGTTCCCAGAGAACGATCGTGTACTTACATTTTTAATGTCAAAAGAATCCACGAGAAATGGATGCGTGAACAATAACAGTAAAAACGTTATGCGTTCTGCTCGAGAAGTCGCGCGCGATTTGTCTCGCCCGGATTTTCCGACGCAGCCGGAAATCCGATGTTTCATTTACGTAAGAAAGATCTCTCCTTCTTTCTCTCTCTCTCTCTCTCTCTTTCTCCTGCCCTCAGAAAAGATCTCGGTCGAGAAAAAGGGCGCGATTTCTAAGAGATACCTCGTACAGAATTGCTCGTATGAAAGCAACAATCGTGCGAGTATCATTATAGTACCTTGCAATGGCACTTCCCAGTGTGCGGATCAGCGTTAGGGCTGAGGCTGCCGTGAGGATCGCATTGCTGAACCGGGACGCACATGTCACCGGGAATAAGGGGATTCCCTTGGTAACCGGTGGCGCATTGCTGGCATCTGCGTCCGACGTAGCCAGCGGGACAGTCGCACGTGGGTTGCCCGTCAGACCCGAGATGACACGTGCGGGCGAACCTGTTTTTCGCGATGGGATTTTTTATCAACGTGTGAACGTGTCCCTACCCAGGACTCGAAGCGTCGTGATTAACGCGACGTTACTAACCCAGACAGCGTAAATGTTCAAAGAGCGTATTAGAGGTGTCTGAAAGGTCCTGGAGAAACGGACCTGAGGTCCGTACCGATTTAATTTTTGCGCGGAACTCGTTTCACGTGAGATGCTCGGTTCAAAATTAGCTTCTTCGCTCGAATTGCACGATGTATCTTTCTTTAATTTAAAAATTTACTTCACGAGCTCTTATTTAAAATTTACTTCACGTGAGATACTCGAATTTAAACTTGGACTTGGTTCTTAATTTTGCAAGTAAATCATATCTTCAACTGTAATTCGATTGAAAAACTGCATTCTCAATTCTAAATTTAAGTGCGGATGTCCCACTTGTGAGACAAGTTTTAAATAACGACTACGTCTAATAATAATGGTAAAAAATATTCTCGAAATGCTTGAAGGACGACATGCTGCTAGTTTTGTACTCTTTGTTCGAACATCTCTAATAAATACTTGAGACATTTACGCTGTCCGGGATGTTTAGCTCGCTCTTACTGGTTCGACGGGTTGGTGAGCGGACAAGGACAGATCTGGCAAGGGATGTTCCTTGAAGGATCGCCGTAGTTTCCCGGAGGACACGGCGGCTCGTCCCTGTAACACTGGCCGAGCCATGGTCCATTTTCGCGCCTCAGATATCCGGGTGCGCAGTGCTCGCACGACAGACCAGTGTAGCCTTGAAGACGATCGCGAGTCAAGTAACGAGCGAAACGTGCGACACATTCCGTTTAGCGAAACGAACGACGAGTACGTTATGCGATCGTCGGACAGTCGTACGTACCGCTGGGACATTGGCACTCCTCCACGTAGGACGCCGATCCCAAGCCGGTATTTCGTACATCAGCGGTGTCCATGACGATGTTGGTGAGACGCACGTCCAGCTGCGGCGAGTCGTCGTACTTTACCCTGAAACACATCGAACGCTGCTGCAGCGACGTCCCACGCGCGGTGAACGTCGCGGTGTCACCGAGACCTTGCGATGTTTATCCTTAACGTTTATTCAGTGCGTCATGGGCAAGAATGTGCGAGAGTTTTGTGAGAAAAGTGACGATTACTTGTACTTTGGGATTATTTAAGGACGGCTGAGAAGAACACGCCTGAACACACTTTCCGGTCGAAAATAGGTAAAAAAAAGTCGCCAATGAGAATCGCAATCGAGTGGTCGCGCCTGTTTCTCCGCGACCACGGCGAGTTCGGCTCGCAAAGCTTACTTGATGAGGATGTTGTCCACATTCGCCAACGTCATCATAATCTCCTCCCTGGAGGCAATGAACTCGCTCCTGCCTTCCTGCCGATACCACTCGCCGTAGAAGAACCTGACGGACTCCTCGGTCTCATAATCCGCCGGTGGCTTTCTACCCTTGTGTATCAGGATATAATTGTTGCCGCTGAGGATGACGTTGGGCGCGTCGTTCGGCGTACCGTTGCCGGTATGGCGGATCGAGTACTTGAGGTAGCCGCCGTAAGACTTGAGTTGGCTGCCATGGTAGTTCTCCGGCAGCGCGAAGTACGGGATGTTGTAGGCGTTCAGGTCGTTGCTGAAGGATTCTAACAGCTGCACGCCGTCTCGGCCGAGCGGCCGGATCTGCGAGATCTGGCTGCTGATGTCGCTGTGGATCTTAATGACCGGCGCAGCCTCGACCGACACGATCTTGTGGCGGTCGAATGGCGGCGGGATGTGATAGGTGAAGAGGTCGGCGCTGCGACACTCGCTGGTCACGCCGAAGCAGAAGCACGAGATGCAGTCTTCAGGGTTCTTCGCCTCGGAGTTGAACTTGCCCTTCGGGCAGATGTTGCCGGGCTCCTTCACCACGACGATGGCGTCCGGCACGGCGAACACGAAGCCGCCGATGTTCAGGGCCTCGCACGAGTACGCACCCTGGTTCTCGGGCTGTATGTCCGGGCACGTGAGAGTGCCGGTTCCGTTGATGGACGTGGTCGTGCACTTGGATGGGATGTGCCCCCAGTTCAGTCGCCAGTTGATCTCGGGGATCGGAACGCCGACCGCCGTGCAGGTGAGGATCAACACGTCGCCCGGCTCGAGGACGACCATCGGCGGTGGCGCTTTCACGATGTAAACGGGAGCTATGCGAGAAAAAGCGATCATGAACGACGCGACGGATTTAGGTTTGATCTGGAAGTCCCGTATTAGAAGTAGGACACACTTTCTGGCTTTTAAACATTTAACCTCTTCGGGGATTCTAAATTTGCCAGAATCGGAGAAAAACAATCTATTTTCCATGTGGCGTGAGCATTCGTTAATCACATGTGAGCAATTCGTTAATCATGAACAAGATTTCTCTTTTCCTGGTGGAATTGTGTGGCAGAAATATCCCCTCGCAATGTTGCTCAACACTCAAACTGTTCGCCGCATCTCATCGACAATCGCTGGAGTTGAAAAGGAAAAATTGAACGTGTTTGAATGTGCATTCGTTTGCGAAGAAAGTTATTTCATTTTCAGGTGACACAAAGTTATTTCATTTTCAGGTGACACAAATTTGACACGTCTATTAGTTGTGTGGCGACATTTCTCTTTTTCTTCTGGAATTGTACGTGGCAAACGTTTATTGTACAGTATTGTTCTCTATATTTTATCTACGATTATATTCGAATGAAAAAAGAAGAATTATATTTAAATGTATACTTGTTTACGAGGAAGTTTACTATTTGACTCTCAAGTGATAAATACTTGACTCTTAATCACGCGATGAATCACTGTTTTTTCTCCTGCAATGGGAGAGCTTAATCTCCGAGAATCGTCCGCAGACGGATGTTCTCACGTTGGATCATTAGTCGCGGCGTTTCGCGCTGCGTGCAAGGAAAGCGTGGAAACCTCAGAAGCCGTACGTGCGTACGGCACGTCCCCGAAGTGATTAAAGCGGGCGCGCACGGACAAAATCAACGACCTCGGCGGAATTCGCCGGAAGACCCGGCGATCTTCGGGCACGGGCGGGAGGCTCGCTGAAAAGTTAGCTCGCGTGAAAGTTCCAACTTTGCCAGACTACGGCGGAGACGCGATGAAATATCGATACTCGGAGTGAGATACTGACAGCAACCGAGCTCGTCGCTGCCGTCCAGGCAGTCCCGCTCCATGTCGCAGTGGTAGCTCTTCGGGATGCACTGCTTGTTGCTGCTGCAAGCGAACTCGCTGTAACGGCAGGCGGATCCCGGAGGAGACGGCGAGCAGCTCTCCTCGTCACTGCCGTCGGCGCAGTCCTTGTCGCCGTCGCAGCGCCACAACTTGCTGACGCACTGCTTATTATTGCAACGGAACTCGTTGGGCTCGCACCCGTGCGGACCTGTCGGCGAGACGATCGTGCGACGTTCGCGTGAGAGTCGGACGATCAAATATGAATATGGTGGCGAAGGGCGGGTTCAGGCGGGGGGGGGGGGACCAGCGTCTATACTCACTGCATCGCATCTCGTCGGACCCGTCGGTGCAGTCGAACTTGCCGTCGCACACGTACGTCTTGGGGATGCAGTCACCATTGCTGCAAGTCGCCTCGTCGTATTGGCACACCTGCGGAGGTCTGGTCACCGGTTGCTCAACTGCGGGAGTTCAGTCCATTTAATTCTTGTCAATCTTCGGCTCGCTGGAGCGAAGCACGTCCGTTGCGCGAGGGACAGCGGCCAATTCATACGCGTTTCTGGGCCACGAGCCCTCAGCGATAAGTTATACCACGCTGATTAACAGAGGAGATTAAGAAACGAAACAGTCGGAAGGGACGTCGAGGTTATCGAGGAAGTCTTTGGGTTTCTTCATGCAGTGACCCTTCCTCGAAGTTTTCTAATGAGGCGAAGACGCGAAATGTCTGCTGCTATGTTCCAGCCGTAAAGAGGAGGGGAGAAGGAGGCAAGAAGAAGAAGAAGAAGAAGAAGAAGAAGAAGAAGAAGAAGAAAGAAAGAACGTACACTTCTCGACCTCGAGGCTGACGCTCAACTGACTGCCCGGGGTCGACGGCGAGTAGCCGACGGCTTCGCAGATGTAGGTTCCGGCGTGGTCGAGTTGGATGTTCGGTATCTCCAGGCGGCCGTTGATGTCTCGGCTGCCGGGCGGCAGAGGAAGACCCTTAGCGCGCATCCAACGTACCCTGGCACGTAGGAGACCCTCGTCGCGGCATTGGAACACGACCTCGCGACCTGGTCGGAGACGGTTTTGCGTGATATAAATTCTCCCTGGTACTCCCGGGGATCGCAGCTCGATCGTTACGGATTGTTACGCTCATGGTACACGGCCGCGCGTGCCGTCAGTAGTAGATGGAGAGTGGTTGGTACGCAGGCACAAGCGCGCTTCTCTCTGTTTCGTCGAGATCGAAGTGACGCTAATGTCGCGCGTTAGTTTGCCTTGTGCAACATTCGGCCGCTTCTCGAACGCGTTAGTCGATGTGCTACTACTTGCATGTAAGTAAAATGAGCGAACGTGCAACGTTCACGAATCAACAAAGATTGTATGCAATTATGTGAAATCGTATATAATTATATATGAATTATATATCATCATATTATATATAGAACCTGTGTATACATTTGGTCTCCAAGTGTATATAATCGTGTGAAATTACATGTCCGTAAAAATAAAGAAATAAAAAAAAATTATACATGTCCGTAAAAGTAAAAAAAGAAAATGCTGTTAAAAAAGGACGCTATTAAATGAAGAAAAGAAGAAACTGCTGCCTCGTCCAATTACGAAAGCAGTTTCTTTAATTACACTTGTAAAATTTTTTTAACATTTTTTGCAAGGTGATCATATACGATAAATGTTTATATTGACTATATGAGCCAAAATTCATATATAATTATATAAAAATTATTTTTTGTCGGAGAGCGACGGAAAAGTAAAGTTCCCCGAGTAGTCTTGTGAGAAAAGTAGCCAAAGAAAGAAAGAGGAAGCTCTCTTTCTTTTTCCGTTAAGCGCAATGAGTGATCGTCAAGATCAAGATTATTAAATATCAAACAGTCACAGAAATTCGCGAATGGTTTTCATTCGTATTTAGACTGTTTACGTTTTAGTTTAGGTTTCAAGTGGAGCTATTTATCCCATGCGTCGTTACGTCTGCATGCGTAGCTTTGAATATATTGTTAAATTGTTAATGGATGTCTGTTATGAAATTATGGTGAAGTTACGTCATTTCACAAAGTGAATACGTGACTCTTCTAAAATTCTGCTGTTGTGACTCGTATGCGTGCAAAAAAAAAAACGGTGCAGTACCGAATCGGCATGGTGCATATTTTATCGTGTAATATTATAATAATCACGAGATTTATCGACGAAGAATCTCCTTCGAGGTAAATTCGAACTCGTCGTATATCCTATCATCTCAATCTCGCTCGCAGAGATACTGAGTTTGACAGTAACCGAAGGAAACTGCGATCATTGCGGCCGGTTTCGACGCCGACGCGCACATGATAAACAAAGTACCTGTCACGTGTACAACATTACGAGTATGTTGCGTATTCAATGATAGACATGAAGATTATTTCAGCTCATAGCATGATTCGCAGCTTATATCTTTTGAAAAGTCTTACCTTGCTTCGCCGGGTCTGGCCAAGGCAAGAAAAAGAAATAACAAACACATGTATTAATGTCATTTTCTCCTCGAGTATGCCAATTTATCTTGTAACTTGTTGCTTATATCGTCATTACTATGTTACGCGACCAGAGTATCATGTATATTTCAGCTACTCCCGATTAACAAAGTCTCTCGACCGTCGAGAAGCTTTAGCTTCTCGTGGAATGAAGTTGGGAGACTTGTAGAACAGTTAAACAGTCGCAACAAATGCGTGCTAAACATCGTCACGAACGAACATTCTGTACGTCATTCGCGAACAAGAGCGATTGGATACTTACTCTCTTTGATCACCTGTTCGCTGGGGTATGTCTTCAGCCTGAGCTCGGACGCTCCATCGGTCGGATCTGCGCACGAATGCAAAGTACAATGAGGGGAGCGATCGTGAAAAGATCGTGATGGGAGCGATTGACGATTAAGGGGATGTCGTGCCGAAAAACTTTACCGACATAATATCCATAGAGTTTTTCTGCAAGATTCACCTATTCATATTGGTTGCGCAGAATTACAAGTGATTTGACGCAATGAGAGTAAAGTGGAAAAAAGAAATGAACTGGGGGATTGGCCAATATGTGACGAAAACTCGCAAAGCTGACATCTCAAGCTATCAATGAACGCAAAGATTTGTCCGCGCAAGAAACTTGTGCAGCTTGTGCTTGTTTCGCTGAGGAACATTTCAAGGAACATTGCTGCAGCGTCACGACTGAATTCCGAAGCTGCAACACAGACGAAAAGTTTGCAAAAAGGTTTTCCCACATATGCGTCACAGATTGGGTTCTTCGCTAAATAACCAAGATAAATAAGTAAAACAGTAAAGGGCAGCGCATATGCGAGATCTATTTACACAGAAAACACCAAAAGAGCAGTGTGATTAGTGCCTTCTATCGGATCGGACAATAGTCCTGCGTTATCGACATTTGTGAAATTCGCCACCCACTTTGGCTGTCATCCCCTTAATAAAGCGTACGCGCGGAGACTCTTAGGCTTAGGTTACGCGCGTCGTCAGTTTTGTTAATTCGGGATCTAATCTACCGCGCGCATCTCGCGTTGCGTTTGCCGTCCGAGGGAAAACGTGGAGTCCTATTTGGAGGCAGAGTTCACACACAACCGTTAGTTCAGTTTAGAAGATATACGCTCCAGAGTACAGAATGCAGTGTGGTACCACACTGCGATGCTCCGGCGAGAGTTCGTTATCACTTTATTATTTATCGCAAAGTAGCGTACTTGTTATCCGTGCGGATTAAAAGTTAGCAGAGGCGGAGAAGCGGATACTCGCGATACGGACGATCGCGAAGTGCGCGGAGGAGCGCGCGCGCCGCCGCCGCCGCATCCTTTCTACGCCGGTGAAATGGTAATGTCCTTTCAGCGTTACATGAAACGTTACGAGAGACGCTACGTTACGGCGGCTATTGCATTACGGGTGTGTATTTACAAGATGTATCGTTGATAAGATGCGTGCGAGAGATGGTGTTATATCGGCGCGTTACAGCCGGGGCGGCCGGCAACCCCCGCGATTCGCGGCTGACTCTCTGTCGGGAACTCACGGCTCTCGTAACTGCAGCCGATCTCGTCGGACATGTCGCGAGGACAGTCGAGCTTTTTGTCGCAACGCTGATGCATCGCTATGCAATGGCCGTCGTTGCACTGCCATTCGTGCGACCGGCACCGGCTGTGATTTCTCTGCGACGCCCGGTAGCCGCAGTCCAATTCGTCGCTATCGTCGTACGGGCAATCGATTCGCCGATCGCACCGCTGATGCCGAGGCACGCAATCGCCGCTCTTGCACCTCCATTCCTCGGCCGTGCAGTCCCGCCGGTGACCTTTGGTCGCGTCGTTAAATGCGTGTCATTAAATGCCTCGTGTGCGTCTCGAGGGCCGAGTCGCTTAAGAGGTAGAATCGCCGGGCTCGTGAAGAAACGGCATAACCGAGCATAACTTTGTACGTCCCGCTCGGTTATCCGCTCGCCCTCGCTCTCGCGGATATCCGCGCCACAACTTCGGGGATTCAGATCGATCGTCGGCCGCGTTTACACGCGAGTCGAGAAACGCACCAGGTCGCGGGTCGTTCTTACGCGATCGCGACTTACCGCAGTTCTCCTCGTCGGAGCCGTCTCTGCACTCTGGAATTCCGTTGCAGAGGGAAGAGTGCGGCACGCACCTTCTGTCCGAGATGCACATGAACTGGCCCGCCGCGCAGTAGCCGGGCGCCGGAGGTTCTGTTTGTGCGGCAGAAATAAAAATGTCAAGCGAGGCGGACGAACGGAAATGCATTGGACGGACCGCGCGCGATTCCGCGCTTTTTTTTTTTTCTTGGATTTTTTTTCGGCGGCTTTATGATGAATTTGAAATGAGATTTTCCTATTTAGTGAATGCGAGTGAAACGAATAGACAAATAAACAATCGTAAATAAGAATAATTGCAGAGTCGTAAATCACACTACCGAAATACTATATTGAGTTGTAATATGTTAAATATTATATATAATATTTAATATAAATATTATAAATATTTTACATAGACATCGCCATCTGCTCGTACTTACTACATGCAGGAATTGTTCTTCCGCAGGTACTCACCGCACTCTTCGGGTTCGTCGGAGCCGTCGGCGCACTCGATGTACCCGTTGCACCTCTGATCGGCGTTGATGCAGTCCCCGTTGGCGCATTGGAACTGGTCCCGCGTGCATCCTAGAACGAGAGTCGATTGTACGTCGACAGGTGGAGCGGTAAGTCGTTTGTCCGTTT